CAACAATAACAATTGTCGATAAAGCACAGACAAACGCGTAATAAACAAACAAAAAAATACTCTTAAAAAAATTCATTTTTTTGTATCCGTCTATTCTAGAATAATGCATATTCTGTTCACCAGATGTGGATTCAGGGTAAGTCAGAATGAATTTCACGGCCCAATTTTAAATCCGTAAAAATACTTTAACAACAAACGCTGTTGGTTTTTCATTTTTAAAGAATGTTTTTACATAAAAATCTACCAATATGATTGCATGTTAGAGCGGCAGCAATTTATTCCATGAGTTACCATGGATCAGCCAATGAGGTTCACTCTTTCTTATCAATATTTGCATGATTATCCAATGACACAGTAGTTTCTTAGTACGTAATGCTGATCGCTCCACTTTATGCTATCTGGCTCATGAACTTTTAGTTCAAAAATACAGTTCCAAAACTTTTAATGAAGAAATTGTCACATACTGAAAAGTAAAATAATCACATCAGGAATTTTTGAATCTCCCAGCGACCTTAGTTGCCTTTTCCTCACGAAACTCGATCTGGGCACTCCGTTTCACTGAAGCAAGTTTGCCCAGTTTAACATGGTATTGACTACTGCTGCTATTTCTACCACAAAATGCCAGTACAGGTCTACAGGAATGGAACCCGCGACCTTTTGCTTACTAAGTAACGTGTAACGCCGAGATGAACATGCATGCATGGATGACTGATTTCAACGTGGTGCGGTGAACATGTGGCATGTCTTGATCTCGATATTCTTGCCATACAGAGAATCGCGTTAACCTAACCAGCGGCGACGCCACGGGAGGACATGTCCCCCTCCCCCATTCCACCTCCAAATCAATTTTCTAATTCTTTCATAACCGACGAGAAATATATGGGGGGGAGGGGCTCCCAAAGCCTCGAAAGCTTCCTGTAGACATGTATACGAATTTGCACATAAACTCTGTTCTTTATTTGTATCCATTAAAATTGTTTATGTAAATCATATCTTATTTACTTAGTCATTCATGATTCCTTCTGGGAAGCTGGTCATCTTATTTTAGGCCTAAGTGGCATAGGTTTTCAGAACAACAGACTTCCTAAAACGCAGGAAAACGTATTTAAGTGACTCTAGATTTCAAAATTTTTCGGGGGAGCATGCCCCCGTACCCCCTAGCATACTTGATCTCCAAAGCTACGTGCGAATCTGCATGATATATTTGTGATACATCATGCTTGAAAATTGGATATCACATTACTGTTACACAGTGTGACTTTATCAAAAATATGTTGATTACTCTGCTGAAAGATATATTTTTATCCTCCCTAACCCCTCCACCCCGAGGTGTACATTCTAAAGTTTTTACTGAGTTGTGTAAAATGTTTCGCAAACCATTTTTGTATTTTTTGATATCTTTACGAAAGACAACTATGATAGCAAATGTAACGATTGCAATAAAGAATATCCTAATCGTGAATCTTGCGGATTAGTTTTTTTTATGTCCCCGATTGCACCAGTGAAATTAAAGGTTCTATTCCCTAGATTCCTAGCCACATGAATATATGTTGCTATATAGAGGTGATAGTGGGGTCTACGAAATACCAGAGAGCATTCAATATCATATAGATACAGCGAAATCCATAAATTTGTTCCTTATTTTCCGCCGGGAAGACAGTAATTCCTGTGCTTTTTTTACGGATAACCAAACTGCAAGAATAGTTTATTTTGGAGTAGCTTTTAGAAAATATTTAGTGGGGGGAGGGGGGGGTGTCAAAGCCTGCACAAAAAACCTCTAGTGTACGCCTCGATCATGGCTCTGACCGTTAATGCCGTAGTGGTTTAGAACGTTTCAAACAATAGCATGTATGACTTCGATGATAGCAACATACGATGCTTGCTCATGGTTATTTTGAACTCGCAGGATTAACAGAGAGTCAGAGACGAAATAATTATTTAGACGAGAAACCTCAATAATTTCCGGTGACGGAGAAGAGCTGGCGCCAGGCGGATATTTCGTGAAACGAATATGTCTGTCATACGACTTAACGATCGACTTTATTATGTCATGTGGCAAGAAGATAATATTTCGATATTACCATTTCTCACGATAGTATTTGGTATATTTCAAAGCTTTAGGTTTAGTTCAAAAGTTAAGAGCTTACCATGGGTACATAGCTAGTACAGACTGGGATGAGTGATGTTTCTAACAAGTAAAAATACACGATGCTGTTTAATTTTCAATTATTGCGTAAGCTGTGCGCATTCATTTCAGGACAATGGTGATTTGCCGGTTTTTCATTTTAATCATTTTAATTAAAAATACCAGCGTACGGAAAGACGAGACAATGACTTGGAAACAATACTGATCATCTGGCTGTCTCGTGATTTTGTGTTTTAACAATGGAGGAAGACAAACAACCACTATTATAAAGAGATCATGTTAGCAACACTTATATAGCGCATATTGGCAATACCAATTAAAGAATGGGAATTCGTAAGATGGTGGCCACAGCTTTTAACCTAATTCCATCCACGCAATCCAACTGCACTCACGTGTCACAACCGCCTTGAGTGCCCTTTAGAAATACCAAAATCCTCAGAAATTAAAAAAATATACCCTCGCCTATACCCACTTTCTAATCATTTCGAATCTGTAACGGGAGTAAAAAAAGGTGTTCACTACAGTTGTCAGTCTTGTCTGCGAGATCGAAAACGTTAGTGATTCCATGCACAGTGTGTATCCTGCAAAGATGATGTCTAAATTAAGGGTTGATGCCGTTCTGTTTTATTCCTTCACACATAATTTGCCTTCTGCAAAGCATACACATTTCTTATTAAAAAACGACTGGCGAAAACGTGGCTCAAATAGCCATTCATTTTAGTGCGTAATCAGGGATTCGCCATGACCGAAACTTTGATTTGGACTAGTTCTATTGGTATTATTGATGGTTATTAGCTACGTCAATTTTATGCAGATAAATTTCTAAGGTTATGATGTACGTTGCTATCATCTCCTTCCAGGTATTTTTCGTACCGTTTGCTATCAACCTAGCTTATCTCTTTTACGTTGGTTTGAGCGGATTTCTTTTGATCTTTGGAGACAATTAAAAGATTAATCTTGTCGGATCTAACAATGCTAACATGATCCAGACAAGTGTCCTCTTTGTAAAATTGAAAAGTAAAATCCATTTGAAGTCCCCAGTTCTTTTTTCAGCATTCAGAAATACTGAAAGGCATGCTTTCAAGTCACGAGCTAGGACTGCACACCTCAACCATTGCTGAGACAGACTTGAAAACTTAAGTCAACTGAACAGGAAACCTTGAGTGAGGGGCCAGATTAAGCGTGTATCGTTGCGTTGCACTATTTTATATGAGAGGAGACAAAAGACAGTTAGTTACCTAAACCTATTTTTTGCAGTTATAATAATACTACATTCATTCGCGTTCATATTTATGTGCGTAAGGCCTGTTTTACGGGCTAAAATCATCATCAGCCCCTAAACTGAATCTTTCAGCCCGCGGAATGAAGTTCTGATGGCTTCGCCGGACCTATGCTAGCATACGAAAGTATGCGCCCAACCTCTCTTTAATGAAATCGCATAATGAAAATCTTCCTAAAATGAATTCCTATAAATATAGCAATGGGGGTTACATCCTGTATATAGGAAAGAGAATGTGAGGCAGCCACTAGATTCTACGTTTTTGACTGAGAATAGGTAGAAAAGGCTGTAGCTATGCAAGCTGTACGTTGTTGTACACGGGTGTTTGACAAAGGGTCGGTCATCCGAAGCTAAAACACGATCCCGCCTTCAAGTCTTGGACCACCGTTAGTTAAGCCACCGACGTGTGTCACAGATTGGTCCCTTTGAGTGCAATGGCTACGTGTATGTATACAGATTAATACTATATATTACAATAGGGTAATAAATCGTCTTTCCATGGGACATCTGGCATATGGTAATAAAACACAATTTCACTGTGGTTTAACTCAAGCAATTAGATAAAGCACCGAACATAAATAACTGCGAAACAGTTAAGAACTGTGAAACAGTTGAAACGGTCTTCACTCATGCTGCGACTGTGTTTTGGTCTTCAAAAAGAATGTGTTGAACATGTTGTGTTTTAAATGTTTGAAAAGTCACCACACGACGCTGCAACGACGAGCGCAAGCTATAAGCTTCGTTCTCAGGCTCTTTGAAGAACTTCGCGGAGAAAGCATTGAGCGCGCGGGGGAGCTTGAGAAGGTTTTGGACTTCTAGCAAGCTATAATAATCATGGTACACATAGAGCTTATATCTATAGCAGAGCGTGGCGGAGCGGCAATGTAATGTATTGAATGCGATCGATGGAGTGATGTCTGATGAAGACGATCGAGTGATATTTTTTAAAATATTCTTTGAAACTTAATGTTCGATCGATTGTTATAGCGTACTCTCCGAAATGTTGTTCAAGTGATGTAGCCACCCATATACGACAAGTTTAATTTTCAACTCCGTTGTTTCCGAAACAGATTAATAGAGTGCTGTGCTTTATAATACGAACAAATAACTGTGTGATTTTACTGTTCGTGAGAAAAAAAGCCAGCCAGAGCCAGGGCTAGCTCATGTGTAAATGGAGTTCAGATGCATCTGTCAATCGGTGTTTGGGACATTATTAAAATGCACTAATTTAAGGTTTATATTTTGCGAAATTTGGTCGAACATCATCGATTTATAGGAGAACTACGTGTATTTGTTATCATATGCAGACGTTTCAGCTTGATAAACCGTGCAGCCCGTTCTCACAGTAAAACCCGGGATTAACATGCAATTATAGATCAGATTGTATGTTCTTACCTAAGGTCGACGAGTGCATAAGTCGACGCTGAAAAAAGAAGGTGACCTAAAGACCTCGCGAGGCTGTTAGCTCAGCAAGTTACTCTCGTGTGCGGGATAGTTTTCGTGAAGAACTCGCCTCGAGAGGAAGGTTTCTTGAGAGTTTGGGACATTTTAAGTACAAATTTCACACCATGACACTAAATTCACACTTTATTCTTGAGCATATCAAATATTAAAGCTTCTCTATTCTTTCAAAAATTGAAGTTCATTACGTCATACTCAGGAGTGGTCGAACGTTTGTTAATAATGAATTCTGGATAAAACGATTGTTTAAAGAGATGGTTGACATTGACTGTCGTGAAGAGCGAGACCACATAGTTAAATATGACGAATGCAAATAACAAATATTATCTACCTAAATATTCACTTAGAACTCGTCGTGTACCAGATAATCCGGGTGACATGCAGCTGGTGTATGGAAAATAAATTCGTATTCACATTTACTAGGTTCGGATACGCCTACCAACTCGTTTTTAGTTCCACAGCTAAGTTTCACCTGGAACACATAAAAATTGGGCTTGAAAAAATTTCGGCGTTTTTCAAAGACAAACAGGTTGCAATTACTTCAAGAAATAATTGCAATTATTTGCAATTAGATTCTGCGTGCAGAGCTGAAAATTTTGAATATGTTTATACAAAAAACATTTCTCACTAAATAAAAAATTTTTTGAACATACTGTTTGTCAATTTCCGTGCATGAAAACATTTTTTGGAAAAAAATGAAAAGGGGAAATGTGGCCAAATTGAAACGCGATTGTTGCCACGCCAGAAACCACATCTTTGCGATGATTGATAAATTTGCTAAAATTTTTGTACTTTGACAAGAAACCTAGACGTAACTGCATTATTCAAGCGTTGGAAGCAAATTGCAATATTCCCTACATTGTAGTTACCATACCTTGGTAGATCGATTTGGTCCGTTCCAACAACCTAAGCCGTTTGTAAACTTCATTTCTGTATATTTGTTAGGATTTCCCGACCATTCTCCCCATGTCCTGGAATACAAGAAGACGCACGCATCTTAACTCATGTGTTATGCTGAACAGGTGAGGCAGAGTGAAAAAGTAAAAAAAATCAAGGTGATATGTGCTAAAATATATTATATTGTTTTTCACCGTATCCCGAATTCTCGGACATTTAACTAATAATATATAATACAGCTCTTTTATGCTTAACCATGAAAATCGTCTTCTATTGGACAGTTGTGCGTTCTGACCTTTTACGTAATGCCCACTACTCTAGTTTTGGTTTAGCACAGCAGGAAAATAAAGTACCACGTGCTGTAGGGGAATTGAATTTCACGTGGTTTGGCAAAACGTCAGTAATAAGCGAAAATGTTAACCTAAACTAGTGGCTTTCGGGGGTACTCACCCTAATGACACGTCTGAGCCACCATTTTTCGAGGACTGTGACGCCTTATCGAATGGACAGAGTTTGTAGGTATATCTAAATATAGTTAAAAGAAGTTTACATCCATGAAACGAGAATATCCTTTTAATTTGATTCTCTTTGAAAAGAACCTTTGGAATGATATAGTGGAGACTTTCCTGCATAATATTTGTTTTTATTCTGAAGTCTGAAGATGCGCAAAATGTACAACCATTTACGGTACTCGTAGTACTGTAAAATAGTTGCTGATGAAAAAAAAATCTTACACTTTTGAGCACGTTTCCTACGATAGATACTGGACAATAAAAATTTGTTTGACTAGCTTTGGTAAAGGTTTTGCAAATATACCATGTACTTCGATATATATATACTGTAAGAGTCCACTTATACTGCATGCGAGAGCCCGAGTTTGCCTTCAATTGGATCGTGCATTTAACTAACGCAATCAAAGACGCCATTAGGGGAAAATATTTTTTGCAAATATTGCACCTGCAAATACTCTACGGCTTGTGGCTTTTCATGTATACTGTGTTATTCATCGATACGACTTACTCTCTGTCATTGAAATCAAAGCATTCACCATGCAGAGGTGAAAATTCTTCGTGTTCTCCCATGTCAATCTTGTTTAATCGGTCAATCTCACTAAATGAGCAGATGCAGTATGTTTCACGCGCGAATTCTTCATTTATACTTAAAAAAGAAAAGTGTTTGTCGAAACTTACGCCAGTTTGTTGAGCAGGTCATCTTTCTCACGATTCACATCATCAAACTCTTTTCGGGCTTTATCAGCCTCTGAAATGAAAAATAAATGAAAAATGTTCCCCTTGAAAGTCTAAAATGCACCAACTCTATCGAAAAAGTGAACGAACATAAAACCGTTATACTTTATATATGTTCCCATGTAGCTCATAAACTACAAATCATGCAAATCAATCAAAATAAAGGAATTTTAAAAACACGCGAGTATGACGGTACCTGCTATGAGCTGTTTGGTTTCGTCATCGTAATCTGGTTTATTTGGAAGCCCATCTTCGTCTTCGGATGCAGCAGGACCTAAACAATCATACAAACGGAAAATTAATTTGTATAGTTAACTGACAAAATTACTGTAGTACCAGTTTTACTAACTGAGTAAACTATACGTACTACTGTAAATAATTGTATTACTATTTTTTTGAACGCTGTTACGTCATAACGTAGACAAAAAAGTCGTATCCCACGTTATGACGTCGTATCAACGATGACGACATCAATGTCCCAAGGAAACATCTTTTACCTGGAGCAGGTGGAGATATTCCTTCCTCTTCACTCTCCTCAACATCGTCATCGTCCTCGTCATCTTCATCATGATCATCTAGTCCAGTAACACTATCGAGATCTTTTTCATCTTCAGCGTCATCATCGTCCTCCTCCATGGGAGTCTCAGGCTCCTCGACAGGTGGAGGTATTTCAGTCGGTGGGCCATTCTCTGATTGTTCTTCTGGCTTGTCTTCCGACGACTAACGTACAGAAAAACACAAGAAATGTAAATCACAGCGAGGTTTGGAAATGCGTAACACCTGCCCCTTTGGCCCATATGGTATATTGGTATTCGCTAAAGGTTGGACGTTTCCCAGAAAGCCCAACTTTCACCTGATTTGGCTGCGACAAATACAGGTTATCTAGACTTATCAAGTTGAAACATATCAAGTTGAAATTCGTCATATTCATCAAACCTCCACATTGGCATGCTGAATAACCTTTAAAATACGTATTTTTTCGTGGAAATGTTACTGCATGCATATGAACACAATTTGGGACCAACATACTTGGTGTAAAAGATATCTCAACATTTCAGGTAGCTCAGGGGAGATACAAGTCAATAATACAATATGGGCGACAATTTCATAAACATCGAATGTTTTGTTAGTAAATTTCTATAGTAAATAGAGTGTATCCGAACATGCATCTCTTCTGACCTTGGTTTTGTTGAATATGTCCTTAAATTTACTTTCCCATAGCTCGGATAAAAATACTTCTTTTTCAATAGAATCCTGACCACCAATCAATTCCTATTGAACAAAAATCATGACGATTTAAAACATGCAGAAAATATTTCTGTGGTAGTAATGGTAGTAATGCCATTGGGGACCACACCATAAACTTTGGTGAGCTTTCTGAACCAAAAGTGAGAATAGATTATGGACATGAATTTACAATTGGGCCATTCATTTGCTAACAATCAAGTAAAGACTAACAGAACTGTGTGACACTAAGTTATTTTAGCTCGCGTGCTTTCTATAAGATCACTTGATGAGGCGATCTAAAACAAAATACGGAGTACGGTACATGTACAAGTTAATAAATACTTTTGCTTCCTCTTCAGTGTAAATTTTATCAAGAATAGTAGCAGCTTGAATTTCTTGAAACGAGATGCTAGTAAATAGAGAGAAATAAGTTTTAAATTCCTTTTTCTATAGATGTTAGAATATCAGACCTTTTACATAAAAATTTAGCGGAATCGTATTAGCGATTACAAGTACATTGATGTGCACCACATGAACCATACCGCACCTGCCACTTTGATCACTATCAAGGGAGGCAAAGGCACCATTTGCCCGTTCTAGATCCATCTCCGCCTTTAGTTTGTTGATTTTCTCTGAAATGACAGGGATTGCTCTACTGAGCGATTTGAAAAATGTACAGTTGAACATCTGTTTTCCTAGCTAGTTACATACATAGATACATACATGAAGATGACTTGTAATGCAGATACATGACACCCCAAACGATATCGTATTAGTATTTGCAGCACATTGCATTGTATAAACTATAGTTAACCTTCAAAGTTTGACCGGCTTATCGATGCATGCAGTATCATCATGCCACGCGAAATTTTCATTTACCTTCCCATTCCTTGTCATGTTTTTCTTTCGCTTCATTCTCCAATTTCTCGACGTTCTCCTTGTGAGCTAGATTTTATGCGCAAAACAGTACAGAATAGTTCAACGAAAAAATCAGCACCATAATGTCAGCACCATAAATTTTGTCTAAATTACTCGATGCTTTCGTTGAGATGCAAAGTCGCTGGATGATACGCTCGACCTGCACACACCAACCAACTCCGACGTGAAAATGTTATTGAAAATTTATTTTTTGCGATTAAAAGACTACATGTATGCATTAATACTCTTGCATGTGTGCATGCTACCGCCGCACTGTAAAACTGAATGAGAATTAATAATTAGAGCAGAATCAAATAAGATCTAATGCAAACCTTTTAGACTTTCGGCGACTTCCTTTTTTTCATCTGCTTGCTTTTTCAAATCAGCAACTTCACTCTAAAGAGAGAACTATTAAGGATCTGTACATACAGCATATTTACAGTAATTAGTAACTACAGTACACGATTGTTTTGGTGAAAGGATCAGCCAAACAGGTCCGGTGAATGCACAGGTAGATTATATAGATGCACAGGTAGATTATATAGATGCATAGGTTAATTTCTTACCAATCGCTGTTCTTTTTTAGACTTTCCCTCTTTTGATAATTCGTCACGTAATGCAACCCCCTAAATCAAAGTCATCGGATTTGTTCGTAAAGTTGACACAATCCTGAACAAAATTTCAATTTGTGTGTGAATCAACATTTGGTTAACCAACATGAAAATATGAATACGACTGTGAAATGTCGTGATGGTAAGAGTTACAGAAGGCCAGGGAAAGCACAATTTCAATTCAAAACGGTAAGCATCCTTACTTGATTGAATATTTCTTTTTCCTTTTGCTTTTGCTCCCTATATTCTCTTCCTAGTTCTCTGTAAACAAAATTTGTTTTGTTTAGAATAAATTACTTCGGATTATTCAAACCTATATTTTCGCCCAATAATGCACAAAGCAATTCCTTTATTCAACTTAGAGAATGTGGTTTCAAAATATTTCCTTGTTAATCCGCGACAATTTAAATGGGAGATACTGTAGCATACGCGTACTTCCCAGGACCAAAACTACTTGTATAGAACGCCAATTCGAGGGAGAGGGGAGTGTCATTCATATATTCAGTTCTGCCCGACGGATTTCTTTTGTAACCTTTTGCACTTATACAAAAGAAATCCGTCGGGCAGAACTGAATAATATATGAATAAACACCCCCCTCCAAAAAAAATCGTTCTAGTTTCGGCCCTGCTTCTGCCAAAATTAGCTAGAAACTTTTGTCCTACATAATCATATCGTTAAAAGTCAATGAAGAGCAGTACAAATATATTACTATTGAGACACCATTACGCAGCTATGGATTAAAACTACACAAATGGTAAAAGAAAGCCCGGCTGAATAAGTACTAGTTAGAAGTATGTCTATTAGGATGAAACAATAAGAAACACGGTTCTATTAACAGAACTTACAGACAATTATTCTGACACATTCCCGTAGCGCTATATTCATCAGAGCCATCACAGCAATCTGAAATACAGGGTAGTAGCATAGCATTTATAAAAGACATCCCGCACATTTTTTTCTTTGCACCTCTTTCGCACCTTGTCGTGCTTTTTTTGGCACCGAATGGTTTTGGTTTCTTCGTTCTTTATGCATTTCTCGACAATTCTCGCCCTATGGGTTTGGTCTGTACGAAAAAGACCTTGGTCTGATATTTCAGTCTTTAAACAGACCAAGCGCTCAGTTAATAAGTAGTTATTATTGGCTTGCGTTCAAGACCATTTAAAAAACCTACTGTTAACCAGTGAAAAGGTTTTGTACAAATCGTTTTAAGGATCTCCCTAATTTGATGTGCCAGGGTTTGAATCTCTTCCAAACAACAGCTAGATTAAACCAAGTGTTACTGATTAATTTAGGCTACGTTCTCAAAGGAACCGACGAATTTGGGACCGTACTCCAATTCACAGGTTTTCACCACGGTAAAAAGAGGATATACTGTAGCTACATTTGACCGGTCCTACCTGTTTATGTACATTTTGATACCGGAAGAATTCAAAGACGGCGCTAAATTCGTTGTGTCCTGTGTGAACGTACTCAACGTTGCTTTAAGGAAAAGAGCTTACCACAGATGCCATCATTAACTCTGGAAGATGGTAACAGGTCCGCTAAATATCCATTGTTTTCGCAAAAGAAACGGCCATTAGGACATGCAGATGTACCTGCAAAGTGCAGTTGTAAGAGAAGTTTTAAATAAGTTATGGAAATTTCAAATCCTGTGGCAGGAGTCAATCTTAAAGCTAAACAGTATGACTCTTTAACATGTAATCATTCTGAGCAACAATGCTTTCTTGTAATGGTTTTAACAAAAATGCTAATAATATTTTAATCAAAAGGTGATCAATATTGATAAATTGTTCACTATTACTAAATTGTGTATGAAAATATCTTTCAATTTGGGGGTTGAATCAATTAACTGTATGTATGTATGTTTGTATACAAATTGGATAAAACTTTGTTGAAATCAATTTCTCCTTCCCTGAAAGCAGTACCAACAACACATGACAATTATTCCTTTGCATTGCTGCATTCCTGTGGTCACCAAAAGCCTTGACCTGATAACATCTCAATTTGTATCTCAGATCTTATCTGATAACTTCTTTACAGATCAAAGATTACTTTCAGAGTATTATTCAAATTGTCAAATTTAGCTATTGTAAATATTTGAATTATGACATGGCCTCCAAAGTGGTCCTCAAGGAACAATCAGGTCTAATTCTGTCAAAGGGTTCCTAAAGAAATACTCTATGAATTCAATTTTTAGACATCCCAAATATTCAAAATAGTTCAACTGAGAATTGCACAATTAGGGACAATAAGTTTGGTTAGAGCGGTATTGAAAAGTGCAACACAACAAGTCTCCAGAAATAACCCCCCCCCTTTAAATGAAAATATGGTGAAGTACATAAGATCCAACATGTGTATTAGAGTACTGTATACCAATATAATTAGCATACACAATTACTTCAACGCCTGTATTCTAAAAGCTCACTCACGCTCAATCTCATCAAGTGGAAGATCTTAATCTCCTCAAAATGTTTCCATGATGGTTTTTTTGCTCTATTAAGAGCTTGAATTTTAGTGTATATACCATAGATCTTTCCACTGACTAAGAAATAACTTTCTCTTTGAAAATTTGTCCCATCCAGACACTCTGCAGCAGTTTACTTTAGATTACCTGGTTCGTCAGATCCATCAGCACAATCACAGTAATCATCATTCACACTTGAAAACCTTAGAAGCCGAGATCCATCTAGACATGTGAAATCTTTACTTGGGTCATAAAATGGCAATCCTAAATGTACCAAAGAGATAAGAAATAGTAACCAAAAGATTGACACCATTGATTGCATGCCTTTGTAATAATTTTCTGTACTATGAAAGGAATGTAGTATTATATGTAGCTAGAGAGTGTATTTGATTGATAAAACACTTGATTAACCTGAAACATTATAAACATATAGTTCAAATTATCAGGCAAAATTACAAGATTATATAAAATCTCGTAATGAGTGATATACAAATATATATAATATTGGTAGGTGGTTTCTTTTGTCATAAAAGTGCTCAACAAAAGGTCGATATACAACGTTTAAGAAGGCTATTTACACATAAAAAACTACAAATTTGTTTCGAAAGCACTCTAGTGAGTACTCTCTCGTCAGGTCTAAAGTGTGCCAGCTAACTTCGGTCTAATTTATACTCGTTCGTTACATGTTCTTTAATAAAAGCTTTATATATATATCATATATATGACTGAAAATAATATATATATTATATATATGACTGAAAATATCTATTTGCTATCAATTGTCCTTCATTTCAGTGTTGTTGAGCACTCTGGCAAAGCAAGTATGATAGTGCTTAGCTATAATGCAAAGCGCTTCCCTTGTGGCCATTTGAGCACTCTGGCCCTGCTATGCTTTGCGCATGTCTATATCTAACCACATGCGGTTGGTGAGAGTAAACATACGTTCATAAATACGGTAGTCATCTCGTGTATAGATGTACCAAGCTGCAGGACGATTGATAGCAAATCTGATCCTGATTCTCTTAGTTATTTTCAGTGATTGACTATTTCCGTTTGTTTTTATAGTACTGGCAAATGGTGAAAATATTAATATTAACAAAGAAACAAGACAAAAGTCATGTGATTGATATTTAAATATTAAACTCTGATTAGCCACAATTCTAAGAAATATAGGCCTGCCTGAGTAATATAAAGTACCGGTACTGTACTGTATCAATGTACTGTATAATTAATAGTACGTGTTTTAATAGAACGTGCTTTCAATTATATCTTATCAAATAGGAAAATAACTAAAAATAACATTTTTCACACAGCGTTTGCTCATTATAAAATAAAACCGCGTCACTCATGCCAATTTTTCATATATTTTATTATCTAATTGTAAACTCCACAGTTACTAAAATATGCCACGTTTGTATCAAACCGCTCAACCTGTATATAGAACACAACTATATAATAAATTATAATATATTCAAAACGTGCAATGGCCAATGGACGAATTTCTAACCTCAAAATAAAATTAAAAAGAGGACACTTACTGTTAGGACTGACCCCTAGTACGTTGGAAGAAATACATCGACCCCAAATCGTGTTTGAAATGAATAAAAAAAGGAAAATCCCTGCCATAATTGCGTTAAATCGTGATAGTTGACAAGACACTAGTTGAAGCTCTTGCTTTCAGGCTCGCAAATACGAGCAGCGGTAAAAACGACTTTAAAAACTTTGTGTTGTTCTACCATGAATAGTGAGAGCATTCGTAACTGTTCACTCTTTCACATCTACCAAAAGAAGAAAATCGCACCTAAAATTGCAAGTGTAAATGGCTCCTCTATCCTCCAAATAAGATCGAATTGCGTAAATCATGAATACTTTATACTTTTTGCATAAAAATTGTAGTAATAAAACAAATTTTTTCATGAAAATCGTACTACAGCACATGGTCAAATATATGGAAACTGGCGAGAGTTTCGGTTTCTCAGTCTTTTTTCATCAAAAACCTGACTGTTGGGCTACCTATGATTTATACCACTGAGCTAAATTAGAATTCCTGGAGGACTTGCTCTCGGTCAAAAGTTGAAGCCACTAATATGGCGGCGAAGTTATTGAAAAATGACGAGCCAGTCCTCCAGGAATTTTAATTTAGCTCAGTGATTTATACGAGGTTGCCTGACAAGGCTGCCCTGGTTGTGGCAAAACGTAAACGTATCCTTTCTTGAATTACAACATACAGTAGTATAAAGCTCAAAATACTGGCGACAGTTGGGTTAACATATTATGCCCTATTCCATTCAACTAAAATTGCCTTCAGAACAACTTTCATCTATTTGTTATATTTACAAGTGAGTGGACTTGTCTTTTGCGAGTCGTCTGTTTCAAAGAGTATTGAAAAAAGAAATTTATCTAAGTTTATAATTCAATGAAAATTCTACAAATCTGTAAACTATGTTCATGATTTAAATTTTGAAGTGAGCATTCAATAACCTATCATTCCCTGCGCGGTCATAGCTGGCATTAGTGGCCAGAGTTGCAAAATGCATGAGTTCAACCTTCTCCGGTAGGATTTCAAGTTTTGAAAACCTTCCTCAAAATGACGTTACATCATTGAGTCAAGTGGCAACTAGCATAAAGAAATATTTGGTTTTTTGGTACATGCATGTAATCAATTAGAGTGTTCAACTTTGAACCTTCCTCACAGGCTTACAAACCTCATTCACAGCAAACCTTCCTCCGGGTGGTACCCGCAGCTTTTTTGCAACTTTGTTAGTGGCATATACCATGAATATTGAAATCTAGTGGGAAAATTGTATTCATAGCTAGGTTGTAAAATAAAAAACAGCACTAATAATTGACTAGTGGTTAGAAGTTTGCCATAAACATCAACCTTATAAAGTCTATGATGCTACGTCGGTTTGGACGATGGAAACGATCATCTCTACTCATCATGTGATGAATTCTAAGAATAGGGTAGTCAACAGTTAACCATCGTATCCGTGTTTCGTATGTTGCCATAGGCCACGCGGCAAAAAGAACAGAAGTAAAAAATTGTAATATCATGTAGAGTTTGCTTAGACCGAGAGTTCGTTTGGTAAGTAAATTGTGTTTCTTTTAGCAGCACGTTACATTGTCATAATGTCATTGTTTATTCGGATTTTAGTAAGATTGTATTTCACAATTTTCAGTATTTGATGCTGGCAGTATATTTCGATCCACTGACACCGTAAATAGCTGTGGCCGGTTTTTCGAAAGGCTTTTAGCTTAAACGGCCGATAAGTTTGAAATAGAAAATGGCAAAATTATCTATTTATTGAACAAATGAGTAAAATATTTCGTTGGCGTTGGCGCGTTGCTATCTTAATATACAAGTTGCGGTAAGATAAAAGTGCTTATAAACTTTGGAGCTAAACGCCTTTCGAATAATCGGTCCCTGGTTGATAAGTTGTAACTTATACTCTAACTTTCTTTAGGAAATAATTCCGACCTGTACTTATATCAGTGACACTAAAATTCGTATATAATATTTATGATTTAGTTACAAATAGTTACATACGCCATACGGACCGGGGGCCGGTTGTTCAAAAGCAGGTTAAATTTAACCCTGGGTTAGTGCTAAACCTGGGTTAAAATCCTTAACCCTAGGTTAGCTAAACCTGGGTTAAAACTGTGTTGTTCAAAGTTGGGTTAGCGGTAGGGTTAGTTAACCCAGGGTTAAAATATTTAACCTAAGATTAAATGTATTTTAACGACTAAGTTGGATATAAGAACGTTTTCAATTGGTCAATAAACGAGCGGCAAAACTTTACCCGACGAGGATATATTGTCAGTCGAAAGATTATATGCCGTGAGGGCAGGGTCGAAGGGACGTTGTTTTGAACCGCAATTTCCGTGCATGCAATTTTAGAAAGATTCGAAATTCGCAAATGTTGTATGATAAACAATGTCGCGATGTGAAGCAAAATTAAGCAATGCATATTATAAACAATCTATTTTGAAAATTTTAGGCATTCTTTGATTATTCAAATTCAGGAACAAACGTAGCCTTACCACTTGCTGCCAATCAAAAGAATCAAATTTTGGTATGCGAAACAAATATTTCGATTACGATCTTTCAATTTGTACGGTTGTATTCATTTATCGTGTATTGCATTGAAGCGAAGATAAATAAATCAATACATCAGCTGAAATCGAACGAAGTCAAACTTAAATAATTCTTTGCTGTCGAAATTATTCGTAAAACCTTTCAAAAGTGTTTAATTCATGACGAATTATACGTGTTTACGTGTTTCAGCTCCTTATTCATCCATTTTGAATCGAAGTTAACCCAGGATTAAAAAGTTAACCCACCTAGCTAGCAGGGTTAATTTTTTTGTCAATTTTAACCCAGGGTTAACGCTAACCGAGCTTTGTGCAACGCAAATCAACCAAGGTTTAAAATTTAACCCTGGGTTAGGCATTTTTAACCCTGGGTTACCGTTAACCGGCTTTTGAACAACCGGCCCCGGAAGTAGTTACACAACATGGGCACTGGCCACTGCGTATTGCTAGTGGAACCCAGTGGAACCCTGCCATACCTCCTCATTGAATACGATCACTCTTTTTTAGAAATTATCACTGAACATAAACACCTTGTATCTGGGGTTTTATTTTGTAGCGTTTGGAGAGAAATGTTTGGTTGTGGAGATGTTTGAACTTCATTCATTTAGCTTTCTTATCTAACTGAGGAAAGATACAAGCCCCGTCCGCACTTATCCGGATAAATTTGAAAACAGATAAATTCTTATCCGTTTTCAAAGAAATCTGCATCCACACGTTGTCGTTTCTGAACCGTTTTTGGCGTCTACACGAAAACGTGAAAACGATTTGAAAACGCTGACATCGTTTACTGGACTTCGCAATCTGAACTCCTCTGGAATAACTATTTGGTTGACAAAATTTGCCCACCAAGCACTTGTTCGACCAGGTCTATTCCAAAAACGCCGAGGTTTTGCCTGACGTCTTCGGTTGAGGCGTTTTAAGACTTGTTTTGAAGTCGGCAATGAGAGAAGCCGAATTATATTTCTGCGCTTCTTCGGATAATCTGCTTGATAATTTAGAATGGCATTAAGCTGAAAATAAGCCACAAGGCTTGAAATAAGCCCCATTAGTATCGAAACTACAGCTTGTTTGTTATTTAATTAATATGATCGGCCGAGAGCGCGTGCTGGACTGGGCTTCAAAGTTCAAACGTTACGTCATCGTTTTCAAATCGTTTTCAAATTTACCCGCGGATAAGCCGTCCTCACGTATCAGCTCAGCCGCGTTTTCAAATTTATCCACCCTGGACAGCGTTTTCAAATGCAAGGGCGGCGGAAAGGGGGGGGGGGTAGGCTGGCTAAAGCCCCCCTAATGTTTTAGATATGGGGCTAAGCTCCCTGAATATTTTAGAAAGAGCACTGCCATTATATTGCGTCTATCGTCTATAGGAAAATCAGAACTCTGAAATCAAGGAGACGTATATAGGTCGATTCCGAATTTCAACGTTCCCGAGTTGCCAGTTGTAAACCATCGCCAGCATTTATTTGTCCATTTTACTACGTTTTTATGTCAAATGAATGATATATTATATATACTGAATTCTAATTAAGGTTGAAACATGGCCACAGCTGTCGGGCATGATTTTAGGGCTTCGAGATCAAGTAAAAATGACTTTTCGGATGAAGAAAGAAGATGGCTAGTTATTGGGATATGTCTTAACAAGGTCCTGTCACCTGAACTAAGAAAAGTCATTAGTAATGAAATGCCGAAATGGTACCAGACTTTAATTAAGAAGCCAACAGAAATCAATAAACAGACTGCAGGGAAGTTCCTTAAAAGCCTGCCACCATCCGCCATAAAATTGAACTATGACAGTATTAACAACAATACTCTCCGTAAGTCTTCAAAATCGGGATCCTATGATTACGCTGTGAAAGACCCCCTTTCCCTGGCAAAATTGTTTGTAAAACCTTTCATGGCAAATTTCACTGGTTTTGACCACTCTATGGATATTTCTGCTGCGCTGTCAGTGATCTGTGAAACACAGGCATTCATTAACTCCGGCACTGCAGTTTTTGCAAAGAAGGTCAGATCGGATGTCAGGAATGAATGGGCACATTGTGATTTCACCCATTGGACCGAACCAATATTCCAAGCTGCATTAAAAGATATCGAATCCTTGGTAAAGAAATTAGGATTGACAACAGCGGATGAGAAAACCGTTCTTGATAATTTCGAGTACTGGAAAAACAATGGTAAGATGCGAAAGTGCTTCGGTAATATGTTCATCATGCATATTTTTCTTTATGTATGGGATGTATAATTAAGGACTACAGAACGATTGATTTATTGTGAACTGGTCAGATTTTTTTCTCACATGCAGTTTCAGGGAATATCCTGGTGTGTAAACATATTTTAGTAATTCATTTATCCATTTAAGTAATTTAATTTAAGCAATGCGTATAAAAAATAATACCGGCAACAGAAATACCTGAAGGGGTTTGGCTACATTTGCCCACAAATCTTGCTGAAGGATTAAGCATTATAGCAGTTACATTTTCTGGACCTTCAATTCGTATTTATAGGAGAAAAGCTATGCATTGCCAAATTTGTCGACTCTGAACTTCTTGATCTCATCCTAACTGAGGTTGGAGATATTCAGAAATCTGTCACACTGATCAATGATGATTCAGAGGAAAAGGTACAGACATAAATTTTAAACAGAGCATAACATAATTATTCATAGTTAAGGGAAAAGGACGTCAAATTAGGAAGGTCCTAAAGCTAGGGTGCGAATGCTATATTTTTAGGGATTTAGGAATGACAATTGAGAAACGGACTTTGTCCGAAACGAACAAAGATATTATTTAAATTAGGGAGACAACGTTCTCAAGACCCTACCCAATGAGCAACCAAGTGAGCGATGTTGGGGCGCTCTGGAACGCTGGAGATGCCTTTTAGTGAAGTTATGTGATATCAATCCAGTAACATACATGTGGAGGGGTGTTTCTCTTCCGCTCTCGTAGGATTAAAACCCGTCATTTAGAAATCTGATTAAAGCCAACCTTTTAAATGGACCCCTCCTCTCTCTTATAAACCCTTTTTAAGAAGAACATTATAAAGCCACCCCCCCCCCCCTTTATCAAAGGCACGTATTTTATGGATAGATTTTTTATACGTTTTGTATTAACTTTCCTTAAAAACTTGCTGTTGTCTTTGTGTTTACTTTTATATAATACTACCACAGGCAGCCCGGTCACTGCTGTTACGTCATGATATTATATATGTATATAATTACAATAAGGCTGGCAACTCTCTCGCAAAAAAATATAATACATACATTAATACCATCGCTTAAAACAAAAATACTACGCTAGTTTCTTAAAAAAAAACTACATACAAAACACCTTGGATACATTGAGTATATTTATCTGTCGTTTTTAGACTTGAAAAAAACTCTAAAATGCTCAAATTTTGCGAATTAAAAGTGTATTTTCGTTGAAATTTTGCGAAACAGAGGCGGGATGCAATTTACTCGACAAACGTCATCATCGGAAAAATTGTCGGCAAATTTCTGATTGGCTGTGGCAAGTCCGGAAAATTACGATGGTCAACTCAATGAAGAAAAAAGATCTTCGTTATTTTAGCGTTAGAAACTAGCGTAGTATTTTTGTTTTAAGCGATGGTATTAATGTATGTATTATATTTTTTTGGAGAGAGTTGCCAGCCTTATTGTAATTATATACATATATAATATCATGACGTAACAGCAGTGACCGGGCTGCCTGTGATACTACTTGAGAACGTTAGTTATGCTTACGCCTTACATCCTGTGGAAAAAGTCAAGCTTACCTTTCAATCAGGTCCCGAACCCCACTATTTATTTTAAACCATGATATATGATGTACATCATCATCTGTTGTCGGTGAAAGTAGAAATGGACTAAGGTTTTTCATTAATAAGCTTTAAATACAATAGTAGCTACTAAACTAAGCATGTCACATGTTATTACAGGAAAGGCTGTTGCGTTGTCTCCAGAATTTGCAAACATCGTTGAGTAAGGAGATACATGACTTAAGAGAGAAGGTTTGTCGTCTTGAGTTGGAGCAGTTGAAATTACATAATCAATACGTTAGCACCGTCGAAGATGTTGAGATCATCAAAAATGAGGTTGCTAGGATGACCACAATCGATAATGAAATCCCGTATGTATTCAACGCTCCCAAGCAGAATCCTTGGTTCGTTGGTCGTTTAGCTGAAATAGAAGCCTTGGCAAATCTGTTAAAATTAAACGAAGAAACTGGTCGTAAACCTGGAGTAAGCACTGCAGCTGTATGTGGTTTGGGTGGAGTCGGCAAAACAAGTTTGGCCACAGAGTATGCACAACATAAAAAGGATTTCTACGCAGGTGGTGTTTATTGGTTTTCTGCTGAAAACGACACTGCATTTGAAGACAGTGTCTCCGATATTGCTACGCTTTTGGGGACACATAGAGGTACTTTCAAACAAACACTTTCGGCTACATTGGCAGTCATATCTCGAAATAGAAAGCCGTGGTTAATTGTTATTGATAACATGGACGAGTTAAATCTTTCGGCTAATATCGTGAAACTAGTATCTGGGCGTTGGCAACAAAGTGCGTCCGGTCATACTTTAATGACCACGAGGAGAGAGCCCGCAAATTTAGCAAATATTCGAAATTTTGACGAACGATGTTGCCTGAGTCTTAAATGTTTTGATATTGAAAAAGGAAAGGAGTTCATTTTTCGCAGAATTGGGATCGTCCAGAAAGATGAAGTGGTTGTTATTGCTGAGAAATTAGTCCAGGAGCTTGGTGGTTTACCCTTAGCTCTCGAACAAGCTGGAGCTTACATCAAATCGCTACCTTGTACATTATCTCAATACCTAGAACAATATAATTCTCAGCGCCTCCGTCTTCTCAACCGAAAAGAGGCAGCGCCTATCTCAGAGTACGATAACCCTGAGAGACTGGCTGTTCGTACGACCTGGCATCTCAATTTTCAGCACATAGAAAAAGATGTTGATGTTGGAAAGCCTGCAATTCGATTTCTCCATGCGTCTGCATTTTTGAATCCTAATGAGATTGAAAGAGATATTATAAACGTTGGGGATCCACCAGTAGATGACGAAGAGTTTAAGGAGTTCGTAAAAACTACCTTGGGACGTCAGGAAATCTTGAAACTCTTGACTGATTTTTCACTTTTCAAGGAAACTCCATCCGCCAACCTTACTGTCCACCACCTAGTGCAGGAAGTCATACAGGATAATCTTAATCGTGATCCAAAAGAGAAAACTCAAAGCCTGATTGATGCCACACGTATGTTGCATTATGCTATACAGAATTGTTCTTCTCCTAACGAGCTTCTTTTAAGTCCAAAGGATGAGCGACCGTCCATTGTCTCCAGGGATCAGTCGCGGTTCTATAAATGGAATAAACTGTGTTTACACAGTTACGAAATTGTCAAACACCTAAAGAGAATCGTCAAGCAGACCGATTACGATGTCACGAAAATATTTCAACCCGAAACCGCTAAAATCGTGTATGAATGTGCTATTCATTTGAGTTCTAACTTAAAACACGATGAAGCAAGAAAAGTGGCCAATTTTGCAAATGATATATTCAATTCAAGCAGCCAAAGTATGTCTGCAAGTTCTTTTTTCCCCCATGTTATCCCTTTACCAGAATTAGTTCGTAGGCACATACAATACTCATGCAACAAGCCAGCGACCAACAGAGACGAGGAATCTAGGGATGATGTGGAGATGCCAATTAATTCGGTCACCACTGAAGAGTTGGAAGAAATGCGAATGAAAGGAAATGATATGTATCGAAGGGGCAGTTACGACGATGCATTGAAAATGTACTCACACGCCATTGACAAATCAAAGAATACAACTTTCTTTGATCCTAGGCTGTTAAGTAACCGAGCCTCGGTATACCTTAAGCTTGGACATTACGAAAAAGCCCTGGAAGATGCAGAAGAGTACATAATACAACGCCCAAAATGTTGGAAAGGTTATGCGAGAAAAGCGTTGGCCCTTGCCGAGCTTAATGATACGCAGGCTGCTCAAATCGCAGCTTCATTGGCATATTTTTACGAGAGGAATATTTTCCGTGATTACGAACCTTTCAAAATGAAATTTGGTGATTCCCTTGAAAAGCTTCTGTTTGTGTGTGGTGATATATCAGAATTGTTGCAAGCCTTGTGTTTGGGGGTACCGATTTTGAAGCGCATGCGAGATATGTCGGCAAACAATTTACAAGTTTTCCCAGTTATCATTCTAGAGAGCAGAGATTACATTGTTTCCTTAGAAACGATTGGTAATTTTAACCCACACCTCTCGCTAACGTGCATTCTTGTAGGTAGTGGTGAAAGTTCGATAACGTTTGGTGATAACGTCGAGGTAGAATTCGTCGAGTTTTTTATAGCTTACCGGGTTGACTTTCATTCTGGTTTAACGGATTGTCATTTTATGCCTGACTCAGTCGTAAAACTCATTCATTGTTCCTTCGAAAGTTCCAACCATGTTTCCACTTCTGTTTGCTGCAAAGGTAAATTGAAGGTCGAACATTGTAAGTTTTATAATTGCACCCAGGGTGGATTGCTGGTTTTTGGTGACGCGGAAGTAGAGAATTCTGAGTTTTTTGGTAATGGAGTGGCGTTGGAAGTACGGGAAGGTGGTCGTTTGCTTGTAGGAAAAAGTAAAATGTACGGTAATAGAAGACAAGGGTTGGTCATTGGTCCATGGGCAAAGAGATGTGTTGTGGAAGACTGTGATCTTTATGACAACGTTTTAGGAGGTATTCTCGCTGTTGACTGCGAATCTGATATTATAATGTCAAGAAATCGTATTTATGATAACGGCGAGCCGGGAGTATCTGTGATTGGGAAGTCAAACGTGTCTATATTGGAAAACGAGATTTTTAAGAACAGTGACTGGGGAATACATATTAATACATTCAGCCGGGCTGTCGTGAAGAATAATAAAATCTATAATAATCAGGACGGTGGTATTGGTGTGGATGTCGTCGAATCAACCGAGGTATCTGTCATTGAATACAATGACATTTTCTGTAATTCCGGACCTGGAATTCACGAGCAAAGATCATCGACGAAATGCAGGGGGAATAAGCTACACGACAACAAAAAAGAGAGAAATCAATCAACAGCACAAAGTGAAGCCAAGCTATGCTACTATTGCAGAAAGTCGGGAGAAGATTTGAAGAAATGCACCAAATGTTTTACCGCTCAATACTGTGGAAAACAGTGCCAGAAAAGTGACTGGAACAAACACAAGCATGTATGCCACCGTCTCTTGTCTGAAGGAAGTATCGTCTTAAACTATGTTGAAGAACCAATAATGACATACTATAATCCTAATAAACAGAACACTATACATCAACGAGCACCAGGCCTTCTACCCGTTGGCCCACAATTCTGTTCACCGCCAAATGAAGCAAAAAGATTCATTGCTAAAGTATCTGCCGGCCTGAACGACACAGATGGAACTAAATTAGTTAGATTATACGATCGTAGTCTTACGATAGATGGGATTTTGGCTGATGCTGATCAAATTTACACCCTAGTGAAGCAATCTGGCTCCGTGGGTCAACTGTACAACACGTGGAAAAAACTGTTTATGTGGGTTAAAGGCCCCGAAAATGGTAAACTTCGAATTTTTATTAATGAATTTCCTTCTTATCAAGAATGGTAATCATTGTGCAATTCTTTAGACCTAATTAGTCATCATTCTAAGACTACGTTCACACGGTACCAGATTCGCTCGTCACGACATCTTCGTTTGCCAATATAAAGCAACGATTATTAGCAAATACTTTTTAATTTGATAGATTTGGTATTTATTCAGATCTCTCACATTAAAGATCTCCACTGTCTTTTATTAACTTCGCAATTTAACCTGTTCCGATGGCAATCCGGTACCGTGTGAACGGGGCCATAAAATTTCTACAAAAGAAACTGATTATGAATTTGTGCTAATAATGTTAAGCCTTAAGGGCTGTTTAAATACTCCCTTTGCTATAGACATGTGTGGATATTAAAAACACGGCTATATGACAATGCTTTACTACCATGCAGGATAATTTTTTTATATATCAGTACCTGTAAAATCTCATGTAATTGGGGTCTTATGACCCTCCGTAAATATATAGCATTGTGAAAAACAAGACGACGATGGATTGAAAGTCATTGGCTCTAAATTCAAATTGTGTAAGATTGTTTGTAGTTTAGCCGGGGATACCGTTAGAATTCTATTTTCTGGTTAGTTCTATGAATAAGCTCATAATTTAAAAACGATTAATGAATTGAAAAGAATTTAAAGTCACCTTTGACAATTACTTCATGCAGTACAGTTTTTGAAAAGGAAATGAGATAATATATACATGTCATGTTGTAGTGTTATAGTTTTGAATAGTAATTCTGGAAAAAATTGTAATTTGTAATAAGTTTAATAATTATAAATATCGTAATTCTTGTGCGAAAGAATGTTGTTATTTAGGATGGTGAAACGGGTTGATTAATTAAAACATGATGTCTGGATCGTATTATAATTGGAAGGCCCTTAGCAAGCACACCTGGCTTCGCGCGCCAATTTTGAGAGATATATACCCCCTCCAAATACATCTACTCGATAGTACAATTGTATATACAAAGACAGTGAGTAGATTTGTCTTCACTATACGTTTTTGTGCAATTTTCTCTCACGAGTGATCGCATTTAATAATTTACCAGGTTATTTTATAATTTTTGGTCTAAAAAAGGTTGCAACCTCGGTTTGGCAGATGGAAACCAGTATAGCCACCTCTCTGACGTAGGTGAGTTTTCTGATCGAATTACAGGAATGGGGAATGGTTATTGATCATATGTAAAAGAGCAATTCTTCACAAGTAACAGCTGCCATGAACAAGTGTCAGTGGAAATAAAAATAAACTTGAAACAGATATTTTACTTATTAGGTAAGGTGTGTTAATACATTGGCTATTAAATAACCATGTCTAACAGTGTCACGCGTTCATTTACGCCTATGATTTACGGCAGATACATTATGTCTATGATATAGGTTATAGTACAGCTGCATATATTGGAATAATGTACACAGTTTAGAAGCTGTACTTTCAATTATAAAAATGATGCAACTTTATATAATTCTACCACTAGCGAAAGAGCCCCAAAGGATGCTCATTGAGGCATAAGGAATAAAAAATAGCGACGTTTTTGGCTTTTTGTTTCACATACGCAGACCGGAAGTATTGTTACACAATACTCAATAACATAAAAACCTTAAAATAATTTTCGCTCATTTGCCAAAATAAAAGACATTATTCCGTCTACTCCGATATCTTTGAAACTCTAAGATTATCAAAAACAGGGGTGCACATCAAGAAAATATCTAGAAGGGAGTCTTGAGCTCTGGAGTCGACGTTTGTAATGTCTGTATATATGTGTCTTATGTAGCTACACTAATTAACATAAATTATTATGCATATATAATTTAATTACCACATTTCCCCTCGGCTTGGTTATTTTTATTATTAATATTATTTTCCTCTCGCGACCTTAACGCCTAGCAGGCGTCTTGTCTTTAGATAAAATAGTATCGTAAATGTGATGTTTTGCAGTTTTTCACAGAATAAAACAAATCTAAAGTATATAATGTCCTTTTTAATACAGTTTTAAGATACAGTAAATGTACTGAAACTCTCAGGTGACCTATTCACACTCTATATTAAAGTTTAAACCAAGGGCCGGTTGTATAAAACTCTTAACCACATTTCGCATAATTAAATCCTATGATTAACTTAGAAATACACAACTCTGATTTGCCAATTTTGTCACAAACTACAGTTAAAAGTTAACTAGCCTTCCAAAGATGAAATTTTATCGTTTTTCAACCCTTTTTAAACAGTTGAAAAAATCACTATCCGGTGGATAGCGCTATCGTACAACCGGCTCCTGGTCCCAAGTCTCTACATGCCTTTAGTGTTCACTGTCCTTACTCTACTGCATGCCATCGTCTTATCGCCTGACTTTGTGCACCCCTGTGGGCCAAAGAAATTAGTGGCCACTTCCTCCATAACTGCATGCATCAGGGAGTGGTGTCATCTTCAGTGGTAATCTTAAAGTCATGGGCCACGAACTGTTGTCTCATGCCATCCTTTGAATTCACACTCTGTTTCTCATGTAATTTTTGGTTTTTGTCATACCTTGATGGCCTTCATGCACAGCATCCACAATCTTCTTCTGCAAACTACTGGGTACGACCAATCTTTCAGCACTTCATACCAATACATCTGCTATTGATAGCTTGAGGAATACATATGCGCGATATGGTTGGACGTCTTGTTCCTATACCCAACGACTGTTTCATAGCTTTAATAACTTTTAATATTCCCTCAATGCATCAAATCCACTTTGATACACAGAAGTCCACATGTACTCTTTGTCAAACAGAGAATCCCTCAACTTTGCGGTTCTTTCCGAAAATCTAGGCATCTTCCTCTAGAAAAACTACGCATGAAATGTGGAATAAAATAGCTATCTAAAATCGACAGAAACACTTCTCGACGTTTCGACGTAAGCCTAATGGCCTTTGTCAAGAGAGTTGGTATCGTTTAGTTCGTCTTATGCTAACTCACCCCGCGAAAACTCTAAGGTCGAAAATTTTTCTTCCTATTTTAGGCAGTTATTACATCACATTTAATGTGAAGATTTTCATATTATTGGACTTTTTCACTGGAGATCTGTTTCATATCATCCTGCGTGAATTGTTCTGAGAGTTTAGGGAGCTATTAAATATCTGTTTGTAGATAACACCCTAATTTTATCACCATGCATGCAAAACTACATTTCCGCTCGTATTGAGCTTTTGTTTGCATTAAAGTATGGAAGCAGAACTGCGTGCATGTAGATACAAACTGTGTATTTTTGATTATTAAACTATAGGTAAATATTCTGTCAAGATAAAAGCATGGCTTCAGCTGTTGTACCTGGTTCAGGCCCTTCACCGTCAAGCAGGAGCATATCTGATGAAGAAAAACGATGGATGGTGACTGGTATATGTCTACATAAGATTTTGACACCTGCTTTAAGAAATGTCCTGCGTAATGAAATGCCTAAATGGTACCAAAGTTTGATTAAACCTCCGACTGAAATAAGCAAACAGACTCCACGAATGTTTGTTAAAAAGCTGCCGCCATCTACGATTCAGTTAAACTATGACAGTATCAACAACAACATTATCCATAAGTCTACAAAGTCTTACGATTACGCTGTGAAAGATCCTTTGTCCTTATCAAAATTGTTCATGAAACCATTCATGGCATGTTTTGCCGGTTTTGATCACACTATGGATACGTCAGCTGTTCTATCGGTGATGTGCGAGGCACAGCCATTCATAACCACCGGTGCTGCAGCTCTTGCGAAGAAAGTCAAATCCGACATCAGAAATGAATGGGCACATTGCAACTTTTCACACTGGTCACAGCTAAATTTCCAAACTGCAATACAAGACATGGAATTACTAGTTAAAAAAGCTGGATTGACACCAGTTGAAGAACAACTTGTCCTTGACGATTTGAATGTTTGGATGAAAAATGGTATGTATCATAATATATTAATTTTTATTTTAGAAGCATTTGTAAACAGAAAAAGGCTTCGTCATTTAAATTCACGAAAAATCACCTAGTATACAGAACCAAAAGCTAAGATTATATGCGATCTAATATTCTGACTGTTCTATTGTTATAGGAAAGGAGCTATGCTTAGGGAAACCAGTCGATGAGGACCTACTAAAAATTGCCCAAAAAGAAGTTGCCCAACTTGAAGATTTATATAAAAAGCTAAATGAAGCTGTAGCTGAAAACAGGGTATGAATTTTAGAAACCGTCCTTGAGATACACTGCACCCCATAACCCTTGCTACTCTCAGCCGTAACAAATCCCACCCAACAACCATGGTTTATACTGACTGCCACCAATGCTAATACTAAGTTCAACTTGTTAACCTTAATTAATTAATTATTACTATATTAATTACTTTAATGATTTTGTCAGGAGTCTGTGCTGGAACACCTTGCTACCGCCAATTCAAGCTTGAAAGAAGAAATCACCAGTTTAAAAGAAAGCCAAGCCAAAACTGAGTTACACGTACAGGAGTTACGTGCCAGTCAAAATGACCTTCTCAGCCGGTATGTTTCCAACAGTAAACAGATTGAAACACTGCGTAGTGAATTCTTCTTCCGTTGTGAAAGAGAGGATGTTTATGTTTTTCACGCCCCGGATACATTTTCTTGGTTTACCGGTCGAAAAATGGAAATAAAAAAGATTGAAGACATTCTCATGGATGGGCAATCGAAGCAGTCGTCAGCGAGAAAAGCGGCAATTTGTGGGTTAGGAGGTAGTGGTAAAACGTGTCTAGCTGTGCAGTACGCCCATCGTATGAAAAATCATTACCAAGGTGGCGTCTTCTGGTTTTCTGGGAGAGACGAAAAGCAATTGGAAAATTCTGTTAATGACTTGGCACTGACCATCGGAACTTTTGTGTCTAACTCGTTTGATGTAACGCTATCCCAAACTCTGGCTCGTATATCTCGCATCCAGAAAGCATGGTTGCTAATCATTGACGACATGGACGAGTTACGGCTGTCCCCGAACGTGCGCAAGCTATTGTCTGGTTCTTGGCAAAAGAACACCATTGGCCATATCATTGTCACGACGAGAAGAAAACCAAGTACTTTGGTTCAAGATGTACCATTACAGGAGATAACAGAAACTTCCTGCCTGCAGCTGCAATGTTTCGATGGTGATGACTCAAAAGAGTTTCTGTTTATTAGAACTGGTATTCCACGCAATGAAGAAAGTGAGACTGCTGCATACAGGCTTTTTGAAGAACTTGGTGGCTTACCACTCGCCCTTGAACAAGCAGCTGCATACATCAAGTCCTTGGGTTGTGCTTTCTCATCCTACGTCGAAATCTACGAAGCGAAGCGCCTTGCTTTATTAAATGAACAGTCTACAAATCCTGTGTCGGAATATGTCTCTGAGGAACGACTTGCTGTCCGAACGACATGGCTTCTTAATATTGAGTATATAAACCAGAGTAGTGAAGGAAAAAACGCAATACGATTTTTAAACGCTTGCATATTCTTCGATTCCAATGAAATTCAGCATGATTTGATCAACGTTGGTGAGCCACCTGTGGTAGACGAGCAATTTCGTGTTTCTGTGGGGACATCTTTGGGAAGGCACCAAATTATTAAATTGCTAACGGATTTCTCACTTTTTAAGCAATTCAAAAGTGGGTGCCTTCAAGTCCATCGTTTGGTACTGGATGTTATCAAAGAAGGCCTTACTTCTGCAGAACAAGATGAAAGTTTTATTGATGCCGTTCGATTGTTGCACTATGCCTTTTCCAAATCTTTATCTCCGGACCAGCTTCTGTTGAGTGTAACCAAGAGAGAAACGGGTGCACTCGACCGCACCAATCCATCACTGTTCTACATGTGGAGGACACTTTGTATGCATGCTGGAGAAATTGAAAAGAATCTGAAAAGATTTCTTGTTGACAGATGCAACGGAGTAGGAGAGACAGTGTTTTCCGAAGAGGCGGCTCGAATCGTTTACCAATCCGCCCTTTATTTGAGTGCATTCTGCAGGCATGAAGACGCTATGCAGGCTATGAAATTTGCGCAAAAAATTCTGGGTTGGGTTTCACAAGATAACAGCGAGATGTTGTCAGCCAAAATTAATGGTGTATTCCCTCATGTATTGCCACTACCTGAATTCATTCGAAGGCACGTTCAGTATTGTTCCAAAGCTCCGAATCTCTCTCCATGTAATGCTAAGCATGATGCGAATTCGTCTACTGAAGTAGATACTGAAGTTCAAAAGTTGCGTAAGGAAGGAAATAGATTGTTTCTGGAAGGTCGTTTTGAAGAGGCTGTCGAGGTGTACTCTGGTGTCATTAATGGTAATGATAAGCCAGAGTTGTTTGATCCAAGTTTTTTCTCTAACCGAGCTTCTGCTTACCTTAGGCTTAAACTTTGGAAAGAAGCTCTGCAAGATGCAAAAGCTTATATATCCCATCGCCCAAAATGCTGGAAGGGTTATGCCAGAAAAGCTTTAGCTTTGCATGGTTTAGATGATTTGGCAGGTGCAGAATTAGCTGCCGCTCAAGCATATAACCTGTGTCGGGACGTTTTCAGTAAAGAAGGTCCTTTCAAAAAATTTTCCTATTTGCAAAATTGTGCTAAATTTTGTAATTCTGATTCTGAGCTCTTAGATTCTCTGCAGACGTCAGTTGTTGGCAAGAGTTTGATATTTCTTTCCCCAGGAACATATAATATCACAAAAGATGTTTTTTTAATGAACTTTATTATAGTTGGTTGTGCTAACCAAAGTGGCCTAAATGAAGACCAAGACTCGAGAATACGAATCAATTTTAAGGATAGTTCAAAATTGTTTGTCTTCGAGCAATGCGGTTTGGCTGATCTCAGCTTTCTATTCAACCAGGGCAACACCCTTACACAACCTACTTCCATCACAGTGCTTTATAATTGTAGCTTCTCATCGCGCAATGTGAAAATGCCGTCATTACAAATATCAGGAGTAGCGAAGGTAGAAAAATGCGAATTCAACAACTCTGCTGCAGGAGGGTTACTTTGTGTTGGAGTATCAGACATTGAAAACTGCACGTTTTCGTATAATGGAAAGGCTGGGCTGGAGGTACGAGAAGGTGGAACCATGACAGCTAGGAATGCATATTCATACAACAATAGGCAAGGAGTACTGGTAGGGCCTAGGGCCAAACAGTGCGTTGTTGTAGGCAGCCAGCTTAATTGTAATGTAGGGGAAGGCATTTTTATCACTTGTTGTAATGATGCTGAAATTCGACTTAGCAATAATTCCATCTTCCATAACGACCACTTTGGAATATCTGTTTGGGATTCTTCGGCGAAAATTGAAGAAAATCGCATCTTCGAGAACAATTGGTGGGGTTTGTGGCTTCAGAGTAATTCGCAATGTCACATTTCAAAAAACGAGGTTTCCCATAACAAACTTGGCGGTATTCGTGTTGGAAAGCGTCCCAGTGGTTACTCGCCGTCAGTTGTTCAGTTCAATACTATTAGTAATAATGGTGGACCTGGTCTGATTGAAAACGTGAATGACTTTGAAGTGAATTCCTTCAGTTTTGGGAAACAAATTTTCCCAGTAGACAGTGTTAACCCATTGCAATGTAACAATCCAGCCATACCTTTAGAGCTTCAAGATACATTGGTATCTGCTCAATGTCTTGGAAATAATCTGCAAGATAATGAGCAGGAAAGGATTTTTGCAAACAATTTAACAAAGGTCAGAAGATTTTGCTCCTATTGCCGTAAAGAAAATGAAAGTCTACAAAAATGCACGAAATGCTACACTGCTGAATATTGTGGAAGAGCGTGTCAAAAAGAGCACTGGAAACGACATAAAATAGTGTGCAATAGCTTACTGAAACAATCTAGCGTTTTACTCACTTCAGCTAAGCCTTATTTAGAAAACACCAGCACAAACTTTCATCATCATGGTCTTCAAGAGGTCGGTCCGAGATACAGTAAACCACCGCCTGAGGACGGCAAAAGGTTCGTTGTTAAAGTGCAGGAGGGTTATAATCCGTTTGATTTTACGTCCGTATCGCTTGTTATGTACGATCGTAGCCTGGTAGTTAACAAGCAGTTTTATTCAGCTCATATTGATAATATAGTGCGAGATTTGGGTGCTATTTGCGCGAAGAAATACGTTGAAAAGAAGTTGTTTATGTGGGCTTCTTTCACCAAGGAGAAAATTATTCGTCTATTTACCAATGACTTTCCTCCTTACGCTCAATGGTAACAATGTTATCTTTTCTTGGAACATTTGTCATTTACAAACGACATTGAAAGCCCTAAAAATCTAAACGAACTCCGGGAACCTTTTTGAGAGCATAACGAGCTTATTAACGAGGGCATAAGTTATTCATTTTAGCGTAGTATTGACATTGTATGAAGCAGCAATTCGATTTATGAGTAAAAAGTTTTTTGGAAGAATTTGTGGATTCAACAGACGTTATTAAGGGATTTGATATTAAAAATAGATTAATAGAACTATGATATGGTAGAAATTGTTGTTAAAAAAAAGTTAGGTTGGGTTTTATAGAGTCGCTTAACTGCATGTTGCATAATTAAAGAATTCTTTATATTCTTGCTTGCGTTCGTAGCTACGTTTTATTTTTGTATCCTTTGTTCGTTGTTTAAATATATATCTTCTGTAAAATTGAAAGGTTTTCAGTTTTCTTAGTCTGGGTCTGGCTTTGCTTTTACGCACAAATACAGCACCGGCTCGAAAATGATCAAAATGAAGTTTTCAAGCATGAATATAGTTTTCGTGTCTCCAAAACTGACATCTTTCGTCAAATGAATTCATACGTCCGACGCTATTATAGTGAATAATTAAATTTGTCATGCTTTGAAACAGAGCCAGAGGGAAACTGAAAAAATATAGTATATATATATTATATTACTATTATTACGCCCTACGTAAAGAACTTGTAACTTAAGTATTTTATAAATTGGCACACATGCAAGACTGAGTTTACACACCCTGACAATCCGGGCGAAGAATTTATTCGAACACATGCATGCATGCATGACGTGACATATGCAGGACGTACTAAAAGACACGTTTATCAGTTCTTCTGTCTTTCACAGCTAAAATCTAACTATATAACAAGTGAGTTGAAAGAAGGCGCACTCTTGTTTGTCTATGCTTACGTTTTCCCACAATACAAAACAAAGAATGTTTTCCTATACTTTGGCAGCCTCCAAAGATACAAAAGTGGATTTACTGCCGTGTTTATCAAAAACAAAATATCCGTAGTATATAACAAGAATGCAGGGTACTTCGAGTGCATGTTAATTACGTCAAGAATGGACGGAATTATCCCAAATACAAGGACAATGTTTACGATTAAAACAGTCGTAAGAAAACGGTTTTCATTTCTTAAACGTAGTTTCATCATTTGTTTAACACATTTTGATTGCGAAATGTCAGCTCCGAGAGATAAACGTTGTTTACGAATAGATGTAAACGCCAAGAGATAAACGAGAACTGTCGTAAGGTAGAATGCAATTGGATAGCTAGGTAATATGCCTGCTACGTGAGTAAAATGCCTGTATATTCCAGTATAGATACAGTTGACTAACCAGACTGCAGTAATCGATATATAGCACACACGAGATGTGACGTTTACTTGATGCCATAAAGGATGAGCTACAGACACATATCTCTCCAACGCCATAATGGCCACTGATGGATACAGTAAAAAGAAAATATAACTCGCAAATGTGGAATGAATCATTCCCCAGGCGCCTGGCAAACAGAAGGTGCTCTCGTGTTCAGTCTGTGACAACAGTAGCTCCTCCAAATTGAAAATGGAATTCAGCAAATCGACTATGCCTAAGTTCGCGACGAAATATGTAGTCGGATTAGAAAAACATTTGAGAGGATTTTTATAGATAGCAAACAAAAGCAGGATATTCGATATTGCCCCAAAGACGATGATGAGCATGTAAACTGCCAGACTCCATGATACTATGTCTCCTAAATACATCATCTCGCAAAATTTAAAATCGTCGGTGAAGTTAAAAGTATCATTACCAGTGTACCAGTATTCATAATCCATCTTCAGCCAAATTCTTCTAAATACAAACACTTTAATCTTTATGTTTCGTGATTTTGGGCGCTGTTCTTAACTTCTTATACGGAAGCAAACATAAAGGTAACCCGCAAATAAAGAACAGCTTGGCCTTGGAAAAAACTTGGCCTTTGGAAGGTAAAAAATTAAACATATGCCACCTGTCTCATGCGAATACTATTTAGCATAAAGATTAAATACACTTTTAATAAAGCTAGAGTGCTTTAATGTATTCGAGAAAAGCTTCTTCGGATTAACAAAGCAGTCAGCTGATGTTCATCGTAGCAAATAACAAACCACCGTATCCCTCTTTGACGTTATGTGACGATTAAAAACTGACGATGAACCACATAACTCCTCCCGCCTCAGATCATTCTTCAGATCTAATACACTCAATAATTATAAACGTTGGTATCAGAGTCCCGTTTTTCCAATACGGCATTAGGCGAATTTGTTTGCGCGAAGCGAAACAAATTGGGAATGTTGCTATAACCATTCTCCATGACATTAGAATGGGCTTTGGTCGTTTTGAATTTTTTTTTGCATCTGAGAACGACAATTATTTTGCAACTTTGTCATCCGACCAATTCTCATTCTGTCGCGTGATGTAACATGCTCACTCACTGTGACACTCTCTCAAACACCCTCCCCTTGTTATTTCTCAGTCGATTTGGAATGGAAAATTGCAAGAGGATCTAATTGTTTTAAAGACTGGGCTGGTGTTCACCATAGAAAAAATTGTTTGCATGACATGGAAATGATGGAATGACCTAGCTAGAGCAGATATTGTGACAAGGAAGCAATTCGATCAATTAACACTGTCTATATATGATTGTATATACCTCTCTAGTGTTAATTTTAAAACTTCTGATTTTGTCTATTAATACAATGGATCGATAATATGTATTAGACTGCTATGCAACCTAATTCTATTCTTTTGTCATAAAGAAATTATAATTACCTAGCTAACCATTTTAAAAAAATTGAATTGTGTTTTAATAGTGACTTGACCAATATAGGAATGGTTGATAAAGAATTTATACAACATGTTTTATATTTCCCTGAACGTATATAAACTCTAGCTGATTTTATACTGATTGCAGTCCAAGTTTATGACAAAAAATAACTAAGATGATATTTAATTAAGGGATTTTTTCTGGTTATACAATTATGAAATTGATTTTAATGTTGTTATTTCAGTTATTAGACCTTAATAAAGCCTGAAGGCTCAAACGAGCTCAGATAATTTTAGAATTTTGTGAATTTTAGAATCAACCGGACAGGGCAGGAGCATGTCTAGGTGGAAGGGTTTGGAGTAGGCTAAATTATCAACCCTTTTGTGATGAAAAGCATGGAAATGGAAATAAAAGATAAAAAAGTGTAGCATCAAAAAATATGTGTGATTTGTGTATATAAAATACGTGTGTACAGTGATTCTGTGAGCACGGCCGGAGAGAAAGATTAGGTTGCATTGATACATATTGCCATGGTTGAAACTTAAAAGCACATTCACGTCCATTCCTATCACAGGGTTGTAGCTAGTGCATTTCATAAAATGTTTTTAAACATATATCTTACTAAATGTCAGCTTTATGTTATTTTATATGGTTTATACTGTACAGTGCACACATACGGAAATACGACTGCGGCCTCGCTGCAACTACAAGCTGTGCATGTGCAAAACACAAAACAAACGAACTCTATGTACTAACCAATACCGTTTTAATTGAATTATGCAACTTACCTAATCCTAATGCTCCTGACTTACTGACATCGTTAAATACCGGGGACAGCAGCTATGTATGGGCCACTGGTATGGGCGCAACCCGTCCCTATCCCTCCAGGGCCAGGCCCTCCACTCTCCAAGTGGGACATCTCATCTCAGTGATCTGATGAGCAGTATACGATACGGTAATACTTCATGTAATTAGATTTATAAAGACTATAGCAAACCCAAGCCAGGAATTCTAAAATTTTTATTTTTAAAAATTCTTATCAGAGATGAGTAATATTGTAGTTGGCTGGGCAGCAATACTTTGTAAAAAGGTTATCACTTATCATTTTATTTTGAGGTAATTTTCTTTAACTTCAATCAATTTAAACACTCTTTTACCAGTCTCATATGGCCAAACATTTTCTGGTAGCTTCAATTTCCTTGATAGCTATAAAATTATCTACTAATCTTGTGAACCTCTCAATAATGGTAATAGTGACCAAAAACCCATTCCCAGCCCAAAATGTATTGTTGCAGGGTCATTTTTAGGAAATCCTTTATGAACTTGTGGAAATTGGCAGGGGGGCTGGCCTCCATTTGATTATGTTTCCTATGTTGTTTGTCATTAGACAGAATGTCATTGGACAAAAATGTAAGTTCCATGGAGGCAAAGTATCTCTTAAATTTATTACTCAGAGCTACCACAGACGGTTCAACTCAGTTTTGGTGCTAATTTTAAAATAATACAGAACACTATTCTAAAAAATCTGTAAAGTATAGAAAGTGACATGGAGAATATTCTTAAGAAATTGACCTATGGTATAAGTACTGCATGAATTCCCACAAGAACTAATACAACAACTAATTTGACCTGATTGCATTTCATTGTTGTAATCTTCAGGAAATTCCATAACAGCTGGGGGCAAAACCAGCAAATTTGGGTGGGTCCCATGAAGTCAACCCATGCAATGCCTAATCTCACTCGATCATGGCAAAATTCTGTGCATATATAGTTTTAAAGCAGGTAAATAACAGTAAACTTTATAATAAAGATTTTTTCTTAATAAACAGCTCAAATATCACACAGGAAATTATGTATTAAAAAGATGACGACGCTCTCACAATATCATGTATTTTAATGTTAGAGTGTCTAGTTGTGATTTTGTGTACACCCTAGGGGGTGTACCTCTAAAAACCATGCAAACAGTCTGCTAATCAGCCCAATCCTTGCTAATAGATTTCATAAACTATATTATTATTACTAAAACAAGTCAATTAGAAGAGACTTCTTTCCATGCCGCTAAAGGCCTTAAAAACGTATTCTCTGCATTTAACCTTTGATTCTCTTCGCGCAATTTTTCGATTTCATGTTCTAAAGTCTGACGATTCCAGTCTTGGTCCGTATCAACATTTCTATTGTTTTCATCGTTCCCCGGTGTTATATAGCCATTTACCTTAACACCAGATTTAATAGTCGTCAGCTCCTTCTCTAAGTTCTCGACTTTATTTTCCAGTTCTACATACTCGTTTATGAGTTCTTCCTTGTTCATACGACGCAATGTTTCCGAATGGATGCGATCGTAGGTCTCGGTAAAGTCTTTTTGCAAAAAATTCCGTACACCTTCGATATCTCTTTCCTCGTCCGAAATCGACGCCGAGTCTGCGTCGTCAGAATCATCAGCAGAACTAGAAAACCTCGGCACCCTGTGCACATGCAAATCTGGTTCTTGAGTATCATGTTCAGCCATTAAAAACTGCGAAGTATTAAACGGCGCGAGCGGTCGACCCTTCTCATGCATGTATTTTTCGCGAATACTCACGGCTCTCAAACTGTCCCTCTCCTCAACCGCTTTTTTTTCTTCCCACGTTAGCTTCGAGTAAGGCTTGTATTTCTTCTTGCTTCGCCTCGACCCACGGCGATGTTTCTTCTTTATAGCCATTGGCTTGTATTGTCCATTGTTGCTTGTGTTTACGCTCGAACCTGCCTCGTTGCTCGATGGCGAATCATGGACCTCTTTTAAAGTATCTTTCATTTCACAAACTTCGTTCATGTTACAGTGTTTGTCAGGTTCTTTAGTTTTGCTGCTATCTGACTCGTCCATCGCTACATCACTGCTTATATTTGACGTGGTCATGGTACTATACCAATACTACGTCTACGTTACATGTCCTTCGATATGACCTAAGATGTCGAAGTGAAATGACGGCGAAATTTTGCTAAACAAAACTTTCCCCGTGAATGAAATGTTTGTGAGAAATATGCTTTTGCTTATAGAAATGCTTTGCCGAAATAAGATGCTCAATAGCAACAGAATATCGTTTTATTACAGTGTTATAAACAATCACCCTTCAAGTCTGACACTCGGTTTATGAAAATATTGAGACTCGAGAATAAAATATATGCTAAATAAATCACATGACCAGTTACTGCGTGGTGATTGGGTAGTTCCTTTGCAACAATCGAAAGGAATGTGCTTTGAAAACAATTTTGGGATGACGGAAGCAGGACCGATTCAAACCGGTTTTCCTCGGCGGAACCGCGGAATTTTCTACTCAAAGCGGATTTTTTACGGTCTTACAGAAGTGCGCATGAAATTATTTGACACTCAAACCAATCATAAATAATAGTTCACAAACAGTACATAGTTTTCTAAAGGCTGCCGTAATTCGTGTCCTTTTGCTCGCCCTATATTGTGCAAATTTCTTCCGCTTTCAAATGGAAATAAAAATCCGTTATCCGTGAAGTCGATCCTTAAGAATCAACTGTATTTATTTCCTTGTTAAAATGCGATAACTTCTTTCATATGCCGTAACGCATTTTTATTTAATGACTACCAGATTACATAAGTTCCAATATAACCAAGGGGCAGCGTGGCAGCGTCTTCAAACAACTTAGCATCAAATGTGGTATAACAATTGCCAAAATAGACAAAACACTTCTCGACGTTTCGACCTGAAGGTGATTACCAGATTACAGCCCTATATTTTCTAACTTGCCTTTACCTCGTTCATTTCACATACTCAAAACTGCGCAAAACTTTATTAAAAAACGCTATTCCTTACAGCATTCTATCTCTACGGGAATAGAAGGATTTACAAAAAATATCAAATTTGTATCAAATGTACATCATTCCCGACAAGATTGTATTCAATTGCTTAGGTTAGAAAAGAAAAGCTAGTAAACAGGGAATTAAGACCTTATCTTCCCTAAATATTCAGGGGGATTATTCCACAGTTTCCAGTCAAAAACAGAGTTCCAGTGAAAAGTATAATCATTGGGCAAAAATACTGAAGATTATATCATATTATATTACGCGTGGCCTTCTGATCACCTAGAATTTCTCTGAACGAAATTCAAACTTGTATTTCTCGCACTGTCGTCTCAGAATCGTGCCAAGGGCTGGATTTCCGCAGTAGAATACTGACACTTGACCATGATTTTGTTCACTTAGCCCTTTGAATACCTAAAAGAAAATGTATTCAAAACAAATTTGGGAATTATGAGATACATAACGTCACAGAAATTTTGATAGAGATAGAGATAGATAGAGATAGAAAAACTTTATTCACCCACGCTTACCCTGTCAACCGAAGCTGATTTCCACAGGAGGCGTGTATAGAGGGACTTACTGTCTATAGTTAAGACTCTGAGTATAGGAGATTACGCATTAAACACGGAGAAAGTCCCACGAACAGTTATATGCATAAAATGTGTCTAGACTTTAGAATCTGATTGCTCTTTACCTGACGATACATACTATAGCCGGTCAGAGTGCTAACGTCCAAATCATGCAACCATGAACTTGTAAAATACATTTCATATGAATAATAAATTTGCGTGAATTTTATGATTCAAGCAAAAGCTCCATCTCTAAAACTCTCCATGATACCGAGATAATCATAATAGTATACTATATTGTATATAAAAGTCTAGATTTTTCCAAAGGAGAATCCGGATTTTGCAGAGGAATGGTTCGCTAGCGAAATATTATAAACCATGCATTTCTCTGCAAGTGGAAATCCAGCCTATATAATAAGCTCTTGCATATAGATTGGAGAGTTTACCTGGTCCCAGTCAGGTCGTCCAGGGTTTGTTCTGGTTTTCAAGCCAGTTATCAGATCCTTTTCTTTCTTTTCATGTATCAGTTCCAAAGCCAGCTGCAGACCGACTGCCTTTATGTCTTCCTTCTTCAGAGCAGCAGTCATGTAAATATGCATATCCAAAAAATGTTCGCTGAACACCCCACGTTGCTCCGACTGTTCCATTTCCAGCTGAGCGAGAAGGCTGATGAACCACTCGAACGACGCTTGGTCGCGATTGATCCAGAAGAAGTCGACCTATTATATCACGTATATTGGATTTCATCAGAATGATGGGATAACTTAAATTTCATAGATAAAATATTAGATAATAACTACTTGGAACGAGAATAGCAAACGTTATTATAGTTGTTTGAAGCTCATACAAATTCATGAACATTATTATACCTTTTGTAATTTTCGCAAAGAAAATGGTACATTTCCCACCCACGAATATTCGCAATTCGGGCACATGTGTGAGGCGCTTTTGTATCTCAACATTATTGTTTGCAAGATAGAAGCAAACGGTGTAACGCCAATTCCGCTGGAAACCAACACTGCGTGTTCAGCCTCGAAGAAGTGCTCAGCGGGTGCTCCATACGGACCATCCAGATATATCTAAATGTGAAAGAGATTTCGGGTACAAAGATATCCGGTAATTTTCTTCGAAATCTATAGCCTTTTATAGAAAAACAGGATCATTGGTCTTGTAAAATTCGCATAAACAAGAACTATTTCGCTGCCTTTGCACTGTTATTCTCCTTTATGAGTCTTATCTGTCCTTTATGAGCCTTGTCAGCCTTATCTATCTATCCATCTATCTATCTATAAATAGGTAAAATCTTTTGACTATTATAAACACTAACAGAATTGATTTTTTGAAGAGCTCAATGAAAGCCCGTGCAGAATTCTCACACAATATCAGCATGCACTAGATATAAGTTGAATGGATACACAATAATGAGAGGAGAGGCAACCAACCAACGAACTGCATGGTAGGCTTGCACTCATCACTCTATTTGATTATTATAAAGGATATCAGGCATACTACATATGAATTTAGTAACTTGGAAACATAGCGAACAATTGATTATTATAATATTACTTCTAATTTCCCAATTCCACTGTCAGTTGACTCCGAAAGCGAATGGGAACTGGGGATCTTCCCTACACTCTTCAAAGCAATTGATTTGGAATTTTCATCTGTTTCCTCGGGGATAGCATAAAACGTCTGCTGCGTTCGGTTCATGTTGTTGTTGCCTGAAGTACTCGCTTCATCTTTCTTCTTTTCTTCCCCTTCTTTGAAAGAACTATAAAGTCTACGCCGACGTAAATACTTTTCACTGTTCCTAAAAGAAAATTGAAATTCATGTATACCGAATAATAAAAACAGTGACATAATAATATTAAAAATTTGTTGTCATTTTCGTACCTTGGCTGTAGTTCGTGAGCTGATAATTAATGGGAATGTTTGTGGATGTACCACGTAAAAATTTCAAACTTGCAAAACGTTGTGTTGCAAATCGAGCAGGGGACTTGTCCTTGGCATTTATTGGGCCTTGAAAGCGGGCGCGGACGGTTGATAACGTTACTACCCCAGGTTCCATTATGCTGTCATCATAAATTATTACTCCTATTTAAGACATATTTTCGTACCTTTCTTCTTTTATGATGTAAGATATGGTCTTCCTTCTTGAAATTTTGGTAACAGAAGCTTTATTCTTCGACTCCTCGTTATAATAGTCATATAACTTGTTGGTCCAAGTGCCCACCCCCCGGATATGCAGCCATATTGTTTCAGTCTGGTCCGGAGAGCTGCTGATCGTAAAAGGATGCCATTCGTATTTTGCTATGTGTGGAATGTTTACTAGAACGTAGTCCCCTGATTTGTACTTGAAATTTTGCGATCGTGGAATGATTAAATGAGTGACCTGTAAATAACGAATTAGACAATTCGTAATTCGTCTTAGTAAATACTTATGTTGTCTGGAATGTTGTCACAATACATTATGAAACATAACTTTTGGCTGCTGCAGACAAAGGGCCAGTAGGAGGGAGGGAGTATTTTTATATCCGTACGCTACATAACATATTTCTTTTCAAATAGATTTTTACTATTATCGTTTAATTGAATCTATATAGATATAGCCCCACCCATGCTTATCGGTGCTAGCTACGTCACTAGAAAGGGCCCACCCTCCCTACCTTTGACGGGAAAATTACTCCCTCCTTTATGAACGTTTTTCCAAAGCGAGCTTTGTTGACAATACGCAGACTGAAGATTCTCTCGATTAAGTAAATCACTGCAGGAGCAATGAACCATTTCCAGAAGTTAGGTGCGTGAAGAATGAGCAGTATCCACCAAACCACGAATAAATGATGGGTATAGAAGAACAGCTTTAAAGACAAAGGAAATTGTTTACTGTATAGTCAAGCAAATGGAGTATTTGTGCTTGAGCAAAGTTCAAATATTCCTATGTAATTGATATTCAAGTAGTGTAGCTCAATGTAACAAAAGTTTGTCACCTTGGACATATTCGTTACAAACGATTTCATTTAGGCATTTAACGCCAAATTTCATGTCTTACGGCACCAAAATATAATCCAAAATGGTTGCGTTTCCAGTGAAACCACTTACCTCAAAGTGCCCTTTGCGACGGACTACAGGCAACGACATGACTGCCATTACACCAAAAACGACGAACAATAAAACACCGGTGATCCCAGCTGTTCCATTCACCCATCCTTCACCAGACTTTGTTGTAAATAAATACTCCCAGACTTCGATATTTGAATCAGTGGTAACTAAAAGGGAATGAACCTAAACTGCTTTTTTCTGCATAAAGCCAGATGAAGCCGCGCTTTGTGTAATAGCTCTTGTTGGGAAGCTCTGATTATGAGACTAACCCTTATGGTTTTTGATATGTTTTTTTACAATCAAACGTCACTAATTTTTCTTCATGCAGAGCCCGTAGTCGTAGAGTAAGTATATTTGAATATGCGGACTGTGTGATCCTCGTTAATAAATCCTTAAATCCCTGCGGGGCCAGAATGAAAACAAAAAACAAGAGCATGCCAGACAGTCATGCAGATAGTGGCAGACAGATATCCCACGTAACTGTACAATCAAAAATCCTAATTACTTGATACTCACTGTATCTACCAAGATGTCCAATGAAATGCAAAACGCCTTGTACAAATATCACCACCGCCACAGCCTTATGAAACTCAATGTGATGATCAATCGGAAAATATTTTCCAACTCTAGTTGACCTCAACCACGTTAGCGAGTGTTTCAGCATTAGAACCAATACGAACATGCCGTTGAAATTTAAGCACATTCCGTGGACCCTAGCGACTATCACCCAACCACCTTCGTCTTTCCTCTGAATGGCCACCCAGATAAACAACGCAGCGTTCACGAGGAAGTACAGGATTACGAAGAGTACGGTGAGTCCATTTTTCTTAACAGTGGCCCATCGCATCTTCGAACGAGTGCGATCCCTCAACCGTCTCCTTGCTTTCTCTTCAGGAGGATTTAGCCAGTTTCCAGCTCTATTAGTGAAGAATAGTAAATCTTAAAGAACAAGGTTTCTGACACAAGTCTTCTGCCTGTACGAGACCTGGACAGCGTCTCTACCGGTGGTTGGTGCTATCCAGCCGTCGTAGAATCTTCTCCTAAACTTCACCAAAAATCACGATAATCCTGTTTAGACCAGGAACAAGTGGAATACATTCGAATTGCCAAGTTATAATCCAGAGTTATAATTAAACAATTGTATACTATTTTTGAATTATTTTGGCTACTTATAACTCAGACTGGCCAAACTCATAATACTTCAATTATATATGTACTTACGCTATTGTGAGATTTTCAGCCACACCGGGAAACTTGGATAAACAAGATGAAAATTCCTCGAATGTGATCTGACCGTTTTTATCTGCGTCGGTTTCTTCAAACAGAGCACTGACGAGCTCTTCCATTTGATCTTTAGTGAACTTGATATGGCTCTCTTGGACGCACGATTCTAGGACAATTCGCATTTCTTCTTTGTTAAGACTACCACTCCCTACATCAACACAAAACTAAATGTAACATCATCATAATGAATTGCTACTCGTGTTGGTAATTTATTGTACTTTTTGACTCTGTTTGGGAATGAGATTTCGGAAATCAGCATAAATCTCTGGATTTTAAAAGGTAATTTACCCCATCAAAGTTACTGCTTTTACGATTTTGAGTAGACGTTTTGCTATTCGAGAACGTAGCTATTACGCCATGTTGCAAAATTGATGCAAAAGGGGGAAAAGGGAATTAATATTATTTAGAAGCGTTCGTGATTCGTGATTTTTTTCCATAATTCATTTATGCTGTTCCAAATCGTTGGCTACTTTGCATGCGCCTGTATGTGCATGGGGATGAGGACGGTAGTAATCCTTTTGGGTACGATTTTCTTCTTAAAAAAAGATGAAAACGATTATGAATGCTCAGTGTATATAAAGTGCCTTAACTTAAATATCCGGTAACCTAAAGAAAGAATACCGCAGCAAAAACTTTGCTGCGTATAGTTGTAAACTTATATTGGTAAACATAAATGAACTCACCGTCTATGTCGTAAACGTTAAAGAGGAACTTGAGTTTTTCGGATTGAGTACCTTTCGTTAATATTTGCAAACCATTGACCAATTCTTTCATATCAATTGAACCATCACCATCCGTGTCAAACATGGAAAAAAATCTTTCGGAAAAGAACGACTAAACAAGATTTAAAAATATCAAATAGACACTGAAAAAAAAATGCAAACTTAAATCTAGGAACTGTAATTAATCGAAGAAGCTGCCACATTTCTTTCGGTAAATTGGAGCTTATCCGCAAAATATCTTTATCGCCTATCAATGACCATATCTAGGAAGATGTACTTTTTGCCATATCGGGATATGCTTTCGGTTTTAGGAAAGTTCACATCAGCTTTCATGCTGTCCAATTTAATATTTTTGATAGCCCATAACTGCATAAGCACCAAGCATACCTTTTTTAGACGAAGGGCATTTTTGAATTGGTCGAAAGTTATTTTCCTGTCAGAAGACTCGTCTATGTTGAAGTGATCTTCTATCCATCTATACCACTTACTATCCACAGATGCACTGCAAAATAATACAGGCCAGTTGTATTTATTGTCTTGACAACTTACTATGTCAATTGTTAAAAATCACGTATGAGTAATGAGAATATAGTTGTTCCAGCTCCAGTTTTGAATGGTAGCTACGGTAGCTACCTATCGTAAGCTTTGTCAAGTTCTCTACTAAACCTGTTTCAATTAAATCTTAACAGCTAGCGTCTAGCTCAGAATGAATTAATGCGAGTGAACACATTTGGCTGGCAAAATCAATTTTTGTGATAATTTTAGAATTAGGGTGAGTAATGTATGTTGCCAAACGACGACATCAGTGACGTCATGCAACATCAGCGGTAATGTACAGCGCTTTGCAAGTGCATTATATATGGCCTGGTGAAGATATTGTCCTATTGTAGCTGACACTCCGGCGTTTATCAAATTGTTTTAGTCAGATATCTACTATATTGTGATCATTGTTCTTGTGATCAGTTCCTAGTCGTTTGAACTCACAAGAAACAATTTTTCGCGTAACTTACAATTGTCATACGCAATTATTGGTACTAATTTTGTTAAAAACCAACCATTCTAGACGGTCCAAACTACTAATAAACTCTTTCATCTGAATTTCTCCATTTCCATCCAAATCAAAGACCGTGAAAAGATGACCAACAAACTAGAAATTGTAACACAGAAAAAAAGTATATACAATGCAATTTTTTTCAGCATGCAGCTAATCTAATCACGTACATTTACAAGAAAAGCAATCGCACGAAAAAATTCGTCTGGTATGGGGAACTGATTGTTCGCAAGGTTCAAAATATGGCTAAAGATATTCCAAGGTGCAATATATTGATCTTAATATACAAGTGCTTTTGACGAAACGTTATTACAGAGCTGTTCGAGAATTAAATTCGGCAAAAAAACTGTTCATCACCTCACTAGTAGCTCAGTCCTGTAAATTTATATTAAATCGAGTGGGCTCAGCCATGCACTGCATGTACTCTATAGCTGTTAAATGCAATCACGTTTTTACGTTGAGCCAATCTCTTTCATGTATATTAATAGGTCATCTCACGTTACATCGCACGTTTTTATAACTTACCTCTTCATCTTTCAAATATTGTGCAAACGTTTCCCGACTGATATGAGATGCCTCGTCACTGACCTCTTTGAAATAATTGTTAAACCATTCGAGAAGCTGCCTGCCATTTCTTTGGTTTTTATCCCTGACAGGAAATGTGTCGAAGGTGATTTCAAAATACAACAGAAAAGTTGAATGCGGAAAATGTATCAGTTAATTGTATACTCACTGAATGAGAAGTCCAAAACCACCAACAAGTTCCTGAACGCTCAAAACACCCTTGTCATTTGAATCAAATATGTTGAAAAGGTTGTCTGCAAAACCCTAAGAAAAAATACAACTATAATCATTTTCTATTTAAGAAAATAGGACGTTCCAACATAACCGAAATAAAATCGTTTTAGCATTGAATTGATTAAGGACCTATATAACGAGCTGCGGCGGACACGTCATAAATTTGTTCAGTGAACTTGAATATATATATATATATATATATATATATATATATATATATATAATTATATATATATATATATTTATAGTTAGTTATTTATATTAATATAATTAATATCGTGGTTTGACTCTTGTACCACTCTGTAGATATGATCACTAATGACGAGTGATGTTACAAAAACGATTCTTCCTGGGGCCGGTTGTATGAAAGCCGGATAGCGCTATCCAACGGATAGTGGTTTTTCAATCGCTTCAAAATCGCCCGTTATTTGCTAAAACTTTGATTAAATCTTAGTATTCTTAAATCGAGGATCCTCTTTAATAATTGTTGCTTCCAAGCTAAAATTTTATCGCTTTTCGAGCATTTTTAGAACGGTTGAAAAAATCACTATCCGGTGGATAGCGCTATCCGGCTTTCATACAACCGCCCCCTGGAGGCTATGTAAAGCGTCCTATTTACCTATATTTATTTATTGATTTTATGTGCTATTTTCTTCTTTTGCATGATAGATGTAAAATCGCAGCAAAAATGGCAAGTATAAACGAGCCTTAATGTAAGCAAAGAATAAAGATCACGTATGTACATTGTATACAATAAACATCACGTCAAGCTTACTATAGTTGTCTTTTTTTTTAACGATGAAAGAGGCCAGATTTTTAACGCGAAGATATAAGGTGGGCACTGCATGGAAAACATTTTTGAAAACATTTTTGGAGATGAAATTTAGTGATAGGAAGCAATAGGTAATTGTAGATATACAATTTTGAGCTATAGTTTTAGCTACTAATTTTCAAAAAGTGGTAGCAACTCCATGTATTATGGGCGGGCATGCATTATCAGTCACTATATCATACGACTGACACGAGTACGGAATTCGTCGATATTCGCGCATATTTCTTCGGTGCGTACAGCTTACATTATCTGGCAGAATCCTACTTTTTTTGCTCGGCTTTTGATTACAAAAATTGAAATTATGCGGTCACTTTTTCTTTCGTTTAACTAAATCAATCAATGTAACAATGATGATTGCCAAATGCGAAGCATAACACTAACAACAGACACATGCATAACTCAAATTAAATATATAATAAAAACCTAATCTAGACTTAATGAAGAAAGTTTCTCTGATCGTGAAGCTTGGGTTTAGAACAATAATTTTCCGAATGACGTTGCTAAGTTGCTAACAACCAGAAGCAATGGTCTACTCTTCAAAAAACCTTTCTCTGATTACTGGTCGTCAGCCATATAATTTACAAGTTTAAATTGACGATATTGACAAATAAAACCATATACATGCAAGAAAACTTAATTTTGTTGTAAATATTGTTTATAGTTTTCTTTTTTGATTATTTTTAATTATACTTAATGTTAATATGTCGGCCCTTGAAAGGCAGCATTAGCTGAGGAATCCTTTGAAAATAATTTGGTAAACTCGTACTGAAAACTTCGATATCAACACGCGAAAAACACAAATCTCGTCCGAATCATTTCTAAAGCCCCCCAACTAATCTAATTCTCAGATCTGGGGCAAGAATATATCAATTTTGAGTTTCTCTATAGTAGGAATATCGTTGCCCAGTTTGACGTTGCCCCGTCACCGTTATGCTTTATTGCTATGCACGAGCAATATATATAACCGTCCTAGCTGTGACAAGGTTTGTGCAGGCTGACCCGTGAATTTCTATACTCTATTTATATTTTAAGCGAATCCTCAATTTGTTACATACATTAACTAAGCTACTATCACTGAGTGTGTCCCTGCATGGTTACATATATTTTGAACCTAAATAGCCCGGGTGATTGATTTCGTTGCGCTTTACTCAAGCCAAATGAATGAAACGGGAAAGCTCAAATTCTTGCGTACCTCGATTTGCTTGACAGCAGTAATAAAAAATTCACTCCTGATACTTGAATGGACTCCAATAAATCCGAAACTTTCCTGAAACCATAGGGTTTTACCTTTCACTACGTTTGGTTTAATCATATTGACCGTGAAGTCACTGAGATACATTAAGATGTGGACTGGAGCACGCTCATGCATTGTGTAGAAGCCTTAGTTAACTTATCGTTGCTAACTATGACCTTCATTTTACATTTTTTATTCAAATTTGATGAGCAGGTTAACCTGAAACCGCGATAAAGCAGGGGGGTGGCATGTAGTATCCTTAAAGGTTTTCTTTCAGTGGTACACCCTGTAGATCTACCTTACAAACATTACTTAATTGAAAGCACTGACTGGCACGTATATACGATCTTTCTTTTTGGCCTGTGGGACGATTGCCAAAAATATGCCTCTATCCCCTCCCGTCTTCCCCCATTCAATGTTGGCCTTAATTAATTGGATACAGAATATCTGTACATATTACGAAGGCGCAACAATCAAGAGATTAGGGACATTAGGCGGCTACATTGAAAGAGAGGAAGAAGAAAGTGGTCGAAAGGACAGAGCGGAAATTGCCGCAAAAGTTATAGTGAACTGAGAGAACTGTGAGAAAGTTAGTGAACTGAGACTCGTTTCTGGAGCTTTCACGTGCAATAACTCGCCATCAAATCATAAGGAAAGGGCACTTTGGTATCTGTTCCTGCATGCGTTCTTGCTGACGAGTATAGTGCCTCTCTATCAAGAGACTTGGAAGGTATTAGTTCCGATCATGACGTTAATTCCGCCACTGTCACCTCAAAGATTATCGCATCATTTCGTGATTATGGGGGGAAACGTAAAAATACAGCGAAGCTATATACAGCGTGCATATACATGCAGCGATACTATAAACTTAAGACGCCATATTGCAGTATGGTTCATTTTAAAGCAGGGGAATACTAAAGCCTGGTTCTCATATATGTCACACAAACGGTCGGCAATGCCGATGGCGATTGTCATTGATCACTGATGAATAAAGTGCATGCTTTGTTATTTTGAATAAATTTTCTTCTTCACGGCCACAAACAATACGTGCCCGACTATCGGTGACTTTTGAGAACCAGGTTTAATTAATATGTGTGCTGTGCACGGTTTTTATTTTTTACATATATACCAATGTTCATCTGCTCGAATATTATTTATTGCCTTCAGAGAACATGCATGTGTGTTTACTGTTTAATGAGCGTGCCAAGGACAAATAAGGCCCAAACGCGTGCACAAGAAAACGACAGAACAAAGGATTTTCCGACTAACAATAGTTAAACTTATTAATAAATTTGGTCTAGATCTAATAAAAGTAGTATGCGACGGTACGTATATATTCACATTTTTTGGCGCGGTGCATGTGCTTTCTAGTTGTTGACCATGTGCATCACTGATTTTCATGATGAAATACTCCGGGCTGCGGGCTGTGACAAGTCGACATGTTTCTGTTTAATTTCATGTTGATTTTTCCCTATACCTTTAGGTTATTTTCTTTGATTCCCGTAAGCGAATTAAATTTCCGTGTTTGGATGAACATATATGCGTTCATGTTATTTTATAACGAGCATTCTTTCATGATGAACTCAGCACTCGCATGTCACCCTAATTTGAGATCGTTTTGTTTCCTCCGCGCCGGACCGTGTTGTAGCTCAGTTGCATGGTCAAACCATCAACGATTTCTTCTCATCGCGGGGGAAAAACGAAGTCCATCGTGCAGTTTTGCATGTAAATACATGACTGATTACGCGCGGAGAAGTTTTTTCCGCATAGAAGGCGTTTAAGACCAGGTCAAGGACTTACCATTATTTTTCATAGATATATACTTGGGCACAAGCTTAAGGAATTAATTGGGCTTGGAGCGAAGCCGTAACTGCAACTCGTATATATATATATATAAGGTTAACCGCTTCCACTCGGGCCATGGCCCATGGACATATGATCATTATGATTTGTATAGCGCTACACAGTAAATTATTGACATTTTCAAAACAATTCTTAAAATAATGTACGCGGGAGTGATGTATATATATATATATAACTGCCATTCATATGACTAGTGTGATGAGAAATTCTTCCATGCATTTTAGTGATAACTGACGACGTTAAACATGGTTGATTTCCTTCTAACAATTTTGTGAAACTTAAGTTTATCCGAACAAGCATACCTCGATTTGCATGACAGCGCTCATGAACGCTTCTTCACTGATGTTTAAATAGGCCCCAATCACACCAAAACATTTCTGAAACCATAACGTTTTACTGTTTACGGCGTTCGCTTCTGCTGGAATCATATTGACTGCGGTTATACTACGATGTCACAACTGGTTTGCTAAAGATCACGGACAGGAGTATATATAACCTCCTTCACTTTGGCTTGTGCCTTAGCATATCCTGTTAAACATTACATAAGTCATGACATTCACTTTTTTTTCAATCCAAGTTGATGAGTTCGCTTCGGCAAAGAAACTGGCCATTATCATTATGAAAGCACCATTAGCAATGTTTATTTTGAAACCCTAACTTGCTCCATAAATTACGATTATGTAAACATATGAGTTGCTTTCAGATATACCTATCATATGTATACATAACATTTTATATAATTGTAATTTATGTTATTCTTTAGTAAGTTACGTCAGATGACGTCTATAATTTACGTAAGTTAATTAAGGACTTGGATGTCTCAGAGAAAAAAAATATATAGTTGTTGCGTGCGAACCTCCGCCGGAACGTTCTTCAAATCATAGTATATATATAATTACATACTATAAAATGTATTAGATGAATAAAATCGTTGTACGAATGGATATATACTAGACTATATATATAGTAGGAAAAATTCCCAATTGGTTTAAAATCCTGTATTATATATAATTATAGTAATTATATATATATAAGGCCTGATATATAAAGACGATATATATATTTTATCCATGCATGAACATGCACTTTTATTGCATGCAACGACATGCAGTAAATTAAAAGAAAAATACTATTCCGAAAAGAACCAGAATCATGCGTCCTTTTCTATACTGTATATAGAATATGAAACTACATAACTATTTAAAAAAAAGATATAATTATAAAGCGCAGTTAATATGAAATAAGCTTCACAATTTTAAAATGGTTTTAGTTGCGATTTTCCAATGGCTTTAGTCTAAAACAAATGTGCATGAGTTCATGTACGTGCAGATTTCAGTGGAACCGGCGATGTCCTAAAGCATGCATGAGGCAGCCTACCAATGAAGTTGAAGTTTAAAATAGCTTTGCATGATCTTAACTGGCCGGTTTTCACACTTGCATGTCTTTACCAGCAGATGTAGTATGGATGACTGTGCTATTGCAGGGTTGTAGCCTAGCCTATAGCAATAGATGTCAAGTCACGCGCAGACGAAACATAATACATTCACAAAATAGTTAGTTCAAGCATCGACAATAAGGGATAATTCATTATAATCCTAACATTCTAATCCTAAAGTTTATATAAGTCAAATACCAGAATCACTTTGACGTCGAATTCCAGAATCACTCTCACCGTCTCACGCACCATGTTCTTTTACGACTAAGTGATAAATTCAACGTAAACATTCCATTTGCTACAAGTCATTACATATAGGCATATATAGCCATAGGTTTCGCGTAACAAAATTGCTAGTACCTTTTGAAGAAATGGGACACGGTTTTCTTTAGTGTTTCGAAGAATGCTCTTCTTGCCGGTCAGTTTAAAACACACCAATCAGTTTGGTCGGAATATAAACATATGGTTAAATATAGACCGGTCGTATTGGACATGTAGTTGCAACTGACTATACCTAAATAATTCGTGAAACTAATCGTTACGTGGTCAGCTTGTGCGCGCGATGCCAGGGGCCGGTTGTATACTATATAGATAAACAAAGGGAATTCCCTTTAAATGTCCATGGTTGTACGAAAGTTGCCTGCCCAGCGCTATCCACAGTTTTTTCAATCGTTTTAAGGCCCAACAACGGCAATTATGGAGAAAAGGCTTTATGGGTTTATGAGCCCAACAACGGCAATTATAGTGAAAAGGCAATTATTGGAAAAGCAACTCTTCAGTGGATAGCGCTATCCAGCTTTCGTACAACCGGGCCCAGAATTTCACCCCGCGCGAAAATATTTTATTTATGTAATGTGATTTATTTTCGCATAGATATATTGCCAGCCATGAGTTTTGCATACCCCTTCCGCACAGCTTGCAGTTTTCTGAGCATCAATAATAAATTTCGCGCTATCATATTATTTATTTACAATGTCTCTGTACCAGTATTTACTGTACGAACTGTGAAAATATTACTCATAAGCTGGTAATAGTGACAACCTATGCCTCAAGTAATCGTATATAATGTATATACAGTAATCATATATAACAGCGTGTCGGAGTGATATTCCTAAACCTAGTTCGATGAGCACTATTGATTTATGTGTGTGCCAATACCATTCCCACTGGGCCAGTTACGCAGGAGGTAGGCCAAGCCCGAGTAATGAAGTGATAATTGACAAGATTTGATGGATTTAATACAACTAATCTTTTTATACAGGCGTCCCTTTCGAACCCGATTGAGTGTACATTTTTTGAGTGTACATTTTTTGACCTGGCAAGCCTACCTCGATTTGCTTTACGGCATTGATAAAAAATTCTCTCTTGATGCTGGAATAGGCCCCAATCAAACCGAAACTTTTTTGAAACCAAGTTGTTTTACTGTTCACTTTGGTTGGCTTTGCCGCAATCATTTCAACCTCAGTGCCAGAACTGGTGCCCTGAAGATCTGGACTATCCTCCTTGGCCCCAGCCTTCTCGCCTTTCCTCATTGCACAAGATATTTGAACACTTGTCATAAGTCGTTTCGAAGTTTATGAGTATCTCTCAATCAAACGGCTGGTCATTGAAACGTTTTAAGCATAACCATGGCAATGTTTACCCGCGGTGCACTGATTCAACCTAGTTACCACGGAATGTTGATGAATATTTTATGCGGCATCAGAATTATCATTGTCATCAGAATTATCAATTACTTGGGTTATTATTTTCCACATCAACTGTGGTAACCAGAGAATGCACTTTGGTGCAAGCTAAGCCAATTTTAATGAATTTAGCTGACAATTTGAAAGCTTATGTGTCCAAGTAATAATTTTCCTTCTTGTTTAATTAGCTTCTGCACGTCTTCAATGAAGAAAAGAATTTTGTACAGAATAGGAAACTTCCAGAAGAGGCGCGATGTCGGAAATATTTGTGTCCGCAGGACGCATGCTTCCAACCATGATTAGTGGGAAAAAGCACTTGGAGATAAGACAGATCGAATACACGAAATAACTAAAAATAACTATTTCATACGTCATATAATAATCTAGCATGTTTGTCATAGCTTGCCGGGAAAATCAGGCAAAATTATTCGTATTATCTCACACCCAGTCCTTTTTCGAAAATAAAAAGCGCGGTTAGCAGACGGTTGCAAAAAGAGTTCAACCTTCCTTCGGTAGGATTTCAAGGTTTGAAAACCTTCCTAAAAATGACGTTACGTCATTGAGACAAGTGGTAACCAGCATAAAGAAATATTTGGTTTTTTGGTACATGCATGTGATCAATTAGAGTGTTCCAACTTTGAACTTTCTTCACAAACCTCATTCAAAGCAAACTTTTTCCGGATGGTACGGCAAACCGAAACAGAATGCAGTACTGGCACAAACTAAGGGGCTGTTCAGATAAGCCTGGAGTTACCCGAGATTTTAAGAAGCAAGAGATGAATGATTTCAGGTATTAAAATAAGTCTTTTTGAAACAAAACAATTACATGCTATTGTTAGGATGATTACATTTCTACCAGGATCATGTTGTTTGCTCATTTCAATACCTCAAAGTTAGTACGCTTCGTTAAACCTCGGGTAACCGGGATCATGTGGTTTTGTTTTGCTATAGAGTTTTTTGGTGAAAAAGCTCGCTTGTACATGTTTTTGTGTCCAAATTGACAAAGTTACATAATATTTTGGGCAATAACATTAACACCGCAGTCGCGTCGTTACCGAACGGTCTCCCAGCTAATGGACCTCTACGATCCCGCAATATTTTATTAATATAAATTTAGGATGAAATGTTTGTTTTATGAGTAAAGACCGTAGAAAAATACATTTTAAAACTTAGGCACAATTCGCCGCACACTTCTATGTATACTTCAGTCTTCCCCTTTTTGTAATGTTTGCTGTCACAGCCTGCGATAGTCTCACGAGAAAACATGCGAACGCAGCATGGAGGTCTGTTAACAAGAGAAGCACGCGTAGCTCTGGATGTCATGAGAGGAAAACATTTATCAAGTTTTCTAACTTTCTTAGCATGCCGGCTTCTAAGTAGCGCTGAAGAACAAATTTACCTGAAAACCTTGTTTAAAAAGTATTGACATCAGAACGCCATGACTGGTTACACTTCCTAGCAATGTATTTTTCCATAATATTTTTACAAAAGCCTAGATTAGTTATTATTTTCAAGTCGGTTGATAAGGGAAATTGAATTTTGCGCCTTTCGTAAAGATCACTGAAATCACGTGACCTCACGTGACTTTATCATCGTTCAAGCGCAGCTGGGATGACTGGGATGCAATTGGTCACACTTTGGAGAAGCTATTTGCGGCAGGAAATGATCATGAATATTCACAATTACTTGAAATCTAATCTCACTGACACTGTTAGAGCCTCCACAGACTAGGGATTTAGTTGTCGACAACTATTTGTGATCGACCACAAAAAGTTATCGACAACTAAAAAACGTGGTTTGTCGCGCAAGTTGTCGCCAACTAAACTCTAAATTATTAGTTTTCGACAACTAATAGTTGTCGACGGCCTCATTTTTTGGCGTTTTTCTAGTGTGTGAAAACTTTTGTTTTATAGTTGTCGACTACTTTTAGACTCTGCGCTATTTCGGTTGCTAAATCAGTATTTGAGCGCCAGTGTGTGGAATCCTTTATCGGACTTATCTAGTTGTCGAAACTTTTAGTTGTCAATCACAAGCAGTTATCGACAACTATAAATCCCTAGTCTGTGGAGGCCCTCAGTTTTAAAGAGAAACTCTACAACGGGAAAAGTTATGGATAGTGATTCCTGCTATTTCTTAAGCGCTCGTTAACGTTATCAATGTATTGCACAACAAATATCGTTTCTGAAATCGGTGGCGAAGTATCATTGGAGTCATTGCAAGTAATGCAATGCGCATGTGCACCGGGTTAGCGGGCGACAAAGTGGCTGTCTTACGAATTGACAATTGAGATATAGGCATCATTTCATTTATCCACAGCCGTTTCGTAAAAACAACTCTACTGCTGTTTGTCGATCACTGATAGATAAAATTTAGATTCCCTAAAAGAGACAACTGAAACATAATTTAAATTGCAAACAAAGGATTTTTGTTTGAAACTCGCCCTTTAGTCAGTGAAACATCTGTACACAAACCACCGGCTATAGCTATAAAGTTTATAAGCCAAACGGGCGAGCAAAAGTATTTTATTCACTAATTTTTTTATCACACCATTAAATAGGAATATAGCCAAGGAATCGAAAACTTTATACGACCCTACTTTATACTACTCGAACTAATGAAACTATTTTTCGACACCCATATAATGTCTGATTTTGGTAAGATATTCAGTCCCACTTATCATTCAGTTACTTTTTTAGTGATGATGTTTGAGTCGCAATCTGCTTCTATAGTAAGCTTTTTTCTCGTTCTTAGAATTTTGAAACTGATAACCAGGTAAAAGGAAAAGAACAGAAATCAATTATATTGCTAACAATGAACTTTGATGATTCAGCTAGGCCCCCTTTCTTAGCAGGGTTATACGAAAAGTCAACTTTAAACGTAGAATATTGAAATTTTAATTCAGAGTCTATTGTTAGGATTACATGGATAAATGCACGGGTAAATGACTAAAGTGAATATACACCCGCATGATATTTCTGGTTGATTCTCATAAATTGCGGTTAAATTGATAGCATGGGTCCGATTCGCTCCTAAAATACGAAGAGCAAACCCTGTACACCCGGTGTTGACACATTCAGATCAGGACTGCGTGGATTCTTCTAATTTTACCTAGATTTAAATCATACACCTTCCAGTAAATTTTAAATCAAACCTTACAGTAAATATAACGAAAAAAAAAACGATCTTGTCATTGAGAATGAAAGTGTTTTGTATACATACATTGTAAATACAATATTAAAACGGTAAACGAGAAGTGGAAAAATAAACGAGAATTCAGTGTTAGGCTTATAACTTAGGTAAACAAGTAATTCAGAACACAGCTGTACATATAGTTGTTAGTATATATATTCGGATATAAAGTGTAGTTGATCGATAATTTGGCATCAAAGCCGGCTTGAAATAATTGCAATTGCTTTATTGTTGAAAAGCGCGTATGATGCGCCACACGCCCTTGCTTTAATTCATAAGTGTGTAGGAAGAACGGAAGCTGTTTTGCGGAGGCACGCGAGTACTTTGTGTGATTTGCAATCAAGGAACGCGAAGAAAACAAAGTGATTATCTCTTCTGTCATTTATTATCGCTAATCATTTACGCGAGTGTGAGAAAGTCGCAAGTTGCAACGGCGTTATCAGCTCATGCATCTCTAATGTTTCATTACTAAAAACAAAAGTTTTGACTTTATATTTGCGCAGAATTTTTTTCGAATATCACTTTGTGACATCTCTTCAATCGGCACACAAAGAAGAAGGAATTCAGAAAGAGCAGAAAGCATTGAGTTCAGCATCAAGGTAAAAACACATGAATGCTTTTACGATATCGTAACATTTTTCAGTCTCTGTATGATAAAGTTCTAGCGCAGGCAACAGTTTTTTAGATCATATATATAGCAATAAGCTACACTACTGATTTGCATATTTCGAAACATTTTATTTTAATCTTCGTGCCCTGCAGGATGTAGCCGAGTATATGATCCTGGTTTTGAGGTAAAATTCACTAATTTTATCCGAACAAAGTATCGTTATAATCCAAACCAATATACAACCCCCTTAATCCAACCCAATATAACCCCTTTTCCAAAATAGACAATATATAGCGTCAAAATCTCTTGCTTGACGTGCATAAATGAATTAGCGCGATTTCTACAAACGTCAGTTTTGAATATACTGATGGTTTGTTTGCTTTCGACAAAGTAACGTTTCAAAGATCACAAATAGAAAAGTTTCGTCCATGCGGCCAGTATACCAGAGTTCATCCAGAGCTGATAAATTTCCATATTAGAGGGTGGAATATGTCATGTTAGGCTATATAATATCAGTCGAGCCACGAGGTTTACCTTCGTGCCGAATATTTTATATTCTTACGAAATATCAGTCATCAACCACATGCAGGCGAATGTCACAGGCAAACGCAAATAACCACTTAGTCTTCAGTTGAACGCCGGTTATGCCCTGGTTACAGCCCAAATGAATGTCTTCCCTGAATCACCCGGAAATAGAAATTTTGGCAAAACAAAAGTTTATTAGCGAAAATATCTCTATACAGCAAAGGTTAAAATATATTAATTTTTAGAAAGAAAAATTGTACACACTTTAAAACCTAATCATCGATGATTTGTATTGTTCAGGGATAAAGCCATCTGGGTTAAAATATTAATATTAATAGAGTTTTCTTTAATTAATTAGTTAGCAATATCCACAGAAGAATGAGTTGAAAATAAACTTAATATTCATTCGTATGTTTTGCATGAAGCGCATCGATCCTACTGCTCCAAAACGTCTTAGCCGTCAAACAGACTCCAACGCGTGATTGTACAATAACTTTGAGAATGAAGTTTAATATATAATGTATGCATGTCTATACTAATTTAGAATGGTATAACGTTCATCTACACTCTTACTTAGTAGCAAGTATGCGTAATTGTAAAAAAGTAAAGGTTATACCTTTCTGAAGTGTTGCTATATTCTTTTATATAGCCTACGCTCTGCGAATGTGCACATAAATTTTTACACGGCAAAAAATCGTTTTCTTCAATCCCGGCAAGGAAAAAAACTTGTCTCAAGAAATATTTTCTTGAAACAAGTGCTATAGAACTCGCGCGAACTCGCATCATTATTTTGCCAATCAATATTTCGCAATTTGTCGCTTTTCCAACTGTCATCATAAATGTACTAATATAAATTTCTCGTTCATTTTGCAATTTATCATAATTACGGCATAAGTGAAATTTTAAAATTGCATTTAAGCAACCTCGAGGCGCCAAAAATAGCTAATAGGCACATTACAGCGTTAAAAGTATAGATCAGTGGCTAAGCTTTGATGCCCCCATTCTTCACAAGCCCAAACAGCTCGCTCACATCGATCGCCTTTCACCGTGGCAGATATACTGATACTTGCAGCTGAACGCTATCTTTTTGTCCTTTACTGAAAGCGCACGGGTAGAAGATTATTGGTATATGAACCCTAATAATGACAAGTCTGCAGTCGCTCGTATAATGAGAACACAGCTCTTATTTAAATTATTCAGAAAAATTCGCGTTATCTGCATTGACACGTACTATCGTTAATATGTGAATATTTGGTTATCAAGTACTCACATTTTGCAACATTCATAACGAGACGAAATTACACTCACTCAAACTGACAGCTTTTAAAAGGGAAAAGGCCAGGTTTATGCATATACAATTAAAGTATTTTCTCTTAGGGCCGAAATGGGTCGAAAAAGCTCTTATCTATAATGAGCATAGCGAACACTTTTTCTGATTCTATCATCGCAAACATGATTTTCTATTCACGCTTGTAACTTTATTTCTTATTCATATAGTCGTTCAGAAATCAGAATGCTGTATCATGAGCGCGGATAAATTACTTTGGAATAATTTACATTTAAATTGAATTTGAATCTACACATAAAACATCAATTACATCAAACTGACATCAAAGCGTAAAAGAACGAATAAGCCGTAGTTGTTTCACAATAAATACCGTGAAAACGTTGCAATCATGCACGCAACGCTAAGGTTCATGTGAAGGTTTCCTCATTTAACTCTGGGAAGGGGAATATGAACATGTACCCGAACAATTTCTTTGGTTTTTTTCTCTATTTTACCAGAGTATGAATTTTAAAATTTAAGATAAAAAGGGCCTCGCTGACGATCTATCTTTCACATTTTCAATGAGTTTCTTTGCAAAGTTATACTTCTCGTTTCGAGGTATCGGAGGATTTGATTGTATCTGATCGACGAATGATGTGGAAAAGTATAGCTACATTTGTATTTTCAATCATTCGCTGCGCCGTCAAATCCGAATATAAATTTTTTATGTCCCCATAACGTTCGCTGACTGACAAAGCTCGCATATTCATCAGTATTATACATGCACCAATTAGACTGTTTGGATAGCATGATGCTATGATAGTATAGAGCTTTTCATTTAATTGAAATCAAGCAGCCGGAATCGAAAAATGACTTACACCGTTCGGCCATTGCCACAAAAACGCTATATGAAAACGGCATAAAAATTGCCAGCTGTTTTCATCGTGAAAGCTTTTAAAAAGACGGAGGATTGCAAAAAATAAAAAGTTTTTTTCCGGCTTCATCAAATGTTATCTAACTTTAAACTTGAGAAACTAACCTAAGAAAGTATTTTGTTGTTAAACCGTTGACGCCAAGTTACTCTTACAAAAATGTTTTTAATTTCTAAAAAAAATACAACAACTCTAATATCAACCAAAAGGCAGACAACATGTTTAATCTCGTCAGGAAACATAAGGGCTTCTAATGCCCAAACTCTTTGTGACAGAAAAATAAATATGTACAAAAACGTACATGAATATTTAAAGCAATTATAGAAAGTATAATCTACAAAGTAGTAGAGATTCCTTTTATTCCCAATCGACTTGAAAACTCTTTCAGCTTATAGCTCAGCAGATGTCGATGAGACGCATAGATCAAGAGTTGAATTAGCCATATTGCGTTATCCGGCAAACAATAAAATAATCATTATGGCACTCTCGAGTTTTGAAAGAGTTGCTAAATTTAAAAATGCATCAATTACGAACCCATTATAACTTGGCCGAAAATGGTTTTTCAATTAGGAGTAAAATTGAGGTAAAAGCATCAGGAAATCTGCAAATGTAAATAGAACTCAGTTGACAAAAGAAATTACTAATTTGCCCCTATTTGTCTGGCCACTATTTCAACTTCCCACGTGATAGCAAATACAAGCATTTATATATATCGCATCAGTCCGCAATCCATCGAGCACCAAGCTTTCCACTGCCGGGGACAATTTTAAGTTAAAGGGAAACAGTGGAAGCGATTCACAAGTAAGATCACACAACTATTAGTAGGATATATTAGTAGAGAAAAAAGACGATAGTTATTTACTACGCTCGAGAGAACATTGCCTTTTTATAGGTTAGTCAATGTGTTAAAGCATTAACTTCTGTTAGTTAGTTAGTCATGTGTATATCCTGGGTCCACGGATGGGAGTAATTCATTGTGTATATTATATAATTTCTCATTATAAAATCTAATAGATACGGCACTGCGCATAACATACAAAAGCCAACCAGAACACTTATATGTCTCATTATCCGCAGAACCCACCGCTATGTAATGAAGATCTATCTTCTACGTTCTAAGAGTACATGCATGTACTGGCTGTGATATAATGACCATTTGTGACTGAAACGCAAGCTTGTGGCCGTGGAAAGTATTCACATCGCGCATCAGCATAATGCATTCATAGTTTACACAGAAATACCTGCGGTCACAGATCGAACCAAACACCCGTATATCTAAATAAATATGAAACATTTACTTTATCGTGCAGTTGCCTCACTTGCCTGTGGCATCTGAGGCAGACTTGGGTAGAGGAAACAAGCTATGGCCCAAACGTAGCAAAAAAAGAAAAGATGAGTACATGTGCCAACCATTGGGAAACATGACAACAAACACCGATTTTAATCTGAAATATAACAATTAAAGAACGATCTGCTTAAAAGGTCGTCGTGCGACCGTTGCGCAGTTAAAACATTTTTACTTAGACAAATCTCGACAATACTGATGGTTTTTACTGAAAAACAGTATCAAATTTCACAGCTATAGGTCATGCTGTTTTCTTCGCATCTTATACAATTTTGTGCAGCTCTTTCAAGATAAAAATAAGATTATCGTCGCAAGAATTTGTCTTGATCTTTTGATCAAAATGTCGTTTAATGTGCAATGGGCGTAAGTGCTCTCTTAAGGGCATGCAACTTTTAACCACAAAACTGTCAAAACCTTTGACAAAATTACGAGCATTCCACGAATTTCAGTTTCGTATTCTTTGATTGCGCATGCCTTTTGAAGCCTTCCCACGCACACGCCTGTGCATGCAATAATTGCATGGCTGGACTAACAACGGTGAGATTGTATTTCAATTGCATTTCTTTAATTCTGTCTATATACGCGAGGCAAAATCTCACATGCGGACTACATGAACATGCAAGTGCATGCTCGGCAAGGCTATTCCACATTTAGTGTATAGCCAATAAAAATGAACACATGCACGTGCTATTTTTGTTGACATCCTTAAATAGATCAATATAATACTATATAAAATATGTTTTCTATAACATAGGAATAATTTTTGAAAGGGTTTTCGACGATATATATACGTAACGCCAATGTACCACAGATTTGCAAACTTGGTACAGAACTATACAAAAATACAGTTATACGATACAATTACAGGAACTGTTCTTATGTTTTATATGAGGAATGTTCTTAAATTTGTAATGCTGGTA